GTCTCTGGCCACGCCCACAGGGTCTGGAGGAAGGGACACCCACACCTGATGGACAGACAGGGAGAAATGGCCACACTCTACTGTTATATGGAAGAAGCCAGTTGTGATACACTGCATGTATTATGATTCCACTTCATTAAAAAATTAACCATTTAGGTTATTTATTCAGTGAACATGTATATACTGAACACATCTATACGTAAAAACAAAACAACTCCTGTTTCCTTTCCATACACAATACTTCTGACACCACATATGTGGAGTTTTCCACACCAAGCAATTCTCCAATTCCTGGTGGAGAGGACGGGGCGTCCTACAATTTAACTCAATTCTGACACTCACTGCCTGGAGTTAAACTCACACCACACAGGTGAAGGGCTCAGTCCCACAACACTGTCCCCATTTCAGACGCTTACCACAAGTCCCAGGTTGGCACATACACTGTTGACCGATTGGCTATAAATTGGCAGTTCTCATGACCCCCAAGTTTGATCATTTGCCCAAACGGCTCACAGAACTCAGAGAAACATGTACTTATGTTCACTGGTTTATTATAAAGGACACAGCTCAGGAACAGCTAAATGGAGGAGGTGCACAGGGCAAGGTACGTGGGAAGGGGCAGGAGCTTCCATGCCCTCTCCAGGTGCAGCCCCCACCCCAGCACCTAGATGTGTTTGCTAACCCCAAATGCTCTCCAAACCCCATCCTTTAGGGTTTTCGGTTTTTTTGGTTTTTTTGGAGCTTCTATTAAGTAGGCAGGTGTGGTTGAAAGGGGCTTGTCATGAATAACAAAAGACACTCACTGCTTTTATCTCCTGGCGCCCTTTCAGGAACTGGGGACAAAATATAAAATAAAAGATGCTCTTTTCACCTTTATCACTTAGGAAATTAATTACAAGGGGTTTAGGAGCTCTGGCCAGAACTGGGGAGGACAAAAAACTCTATTTCTTATTACATCCCATTATCACAATTCCTTACAATATTCAATTCCTTACATAAATATTTATTAAGCATCTACTGTGTGCCAGGCCTGGGACCACCACCACGAAAGCAGCAATAGCACCAGCAGAGGGGCAGGATGGAGTCATGGTTGGGAGCACTGACTCCGGACAGCATAGATGTGATCCCTGGTTCTGGACCCCCTTGTTGGGTGTCCTTTGGCTTGTCATTTGCCCTCTTTATGCCTTAGTTTATAGGCATAGTGCCTAAACCCTAGGCCCATTTGAGTATTGAATGAGATCAGTATGTTAAGTGCTCTTAGCCCAGGGCCTGGCGCAGGAAAAGCTTTTACCTTGTGACCTTGGGTTTGTCTGATCTCTGTGGGAGACAGGGACTGCTGGCCATCACTTCCATCTGACAGGTGAGAAACCAAGACTCAAGTGACAAGAGACCAACATGAAGTCACTTATTCAGTTCACATCCTAAGGAAAGGGCAGGGCTGGGATTCAAACCCAGAGGTCAGTCCCACAGCCCCTCTCGGGTCTTTTCAATCTGCACAGGGAGCACATATCATGTTCTTAAATGAAAAAGACAGATACATTCTGCGGGGACTAAGTTTATGTGTCAAGTAGGCTGGGCCACAGTTGTCACATGGACACTTGGTCAAACACCAGTCTAGATGTGGCCATGAAGGAATTTTCAAGATGAGATTAGCATTTCAATCAGTAGATTTACCAGATTACCCTCCACAGTGTGGGTGGGCCTCATCCAATCAGTTGAAGGACTTAGGGGAAAAACCCTGAGGTCTCAGGAGGAAGAGGGACAGCTGTCTCAGGACTGTTTTGGGACTCAAGCTGCAACATCACTTCTTCCCTGAGTCTTCAGTTGGCTGCCCTACCCTGCAGATTTTGGACCTGCCAATCTTCACAATCACATAAGCCAATTCTTTAAAATAAATCTCTGTATATACACATCCTATTGTTTCTGTTTCTCTGAAGAACTCTGACTGATACACATCCGCCCTAGAAACCCATGGCAGGGCTCAGGTGAGTGAAGTAGACGAAGCCTCTCTCTCAACAGACTCCTGAGAGAAACTTTTAGCTTTAGAATCTAAGACCAACTACCCACACTTTGTAAATTCTAGACTATGATCCAGATATACCTCTTACATACAGTGTAGTCAAATAAAAAGTTTGAATTCTTATTTGGATAATGAAAGAGGAGCTGCTTGGAGAAGCCCCTGAGGGGACAGCTTCACAGTTTGACCCTGGGTTGCCACCCTCTAGACCCACTGTGGCCCTGCGCCCTCTCCCTTCCCCCAGCCCTCCCATCAAAGAGTTCCTAGGGGAGCGTTTATTAACCACAGCATCACAGGTGCCCTAGTCAACTTGTAGCAGGTGTGAAGGGGCTGCGGCTCCAGTGGCAGGAGGAAGGGGCCTGCCCTGACCTCGGGGGGAGTTTTTTGGGCACAGGTCAGTAGTGCACTTTGGAGCACTAGACCAGTCCAGGTGACTGTCTAACCATCTGTTATGGGTTGAATCGTGTCCCTGCAAAATCTTCATGGTGAAGTCCTAATGCAAAGTACCACAGAATGATGTGACTTCATTTGGATGGATTTAGAGTCACTGCAGATGTAATCAGTTAATACTAATTAACACTGAGTAGGGTGGGTCCCTAATGTGACTCCTGTCTTTATAAAGGGAAAATTTGGACACATACACAGGCATGCACTCAGGGAGAACGCCATGTGAACATGAAGGCAGAGGCTGCGGTGATGCTTCTACGAGCCAAGAACGCCAGAGACTGCTGGCAAACCACCAGAGAAGCTAGGAGAGGCATGGGACGGTTTTCCCTGCAGCTCTCAGAAGGAATCAACACTGCTCAGACTTCCAGCCTCCAGAACTGTCAGTCAGTAAATTTCCATTGTTTAAGTCACTCAGTTTGAGGCACTTTGTTAGGGCATGCCCTACCACCCATGGCTGTTGGCTACTCTTCTTAAATGGTCTCTCAAATAGCCATCAGTGCTGTCCTGAAGACCAGAAGGGAAAGACAACACATAACTGGCCTCCGAAGGGCCCTGTGGTCTTTTTAAATTTTTGCTTTGTTTTTTTTTTGGGGGGGGTAATTAGGTTTATTTACTTATTTTTAACGGAGGTACTAGGGATTGAACACAGGTATGCACTCTACCACTGAGCTATACCCTCCCTGCCCCTCGGAGGGCCCAGTTTTTTAAAGCCCTGGTTTCAGATACCTTGGGAACTTGCTAAAATGCAGACTTTGGGCCCCAAACCTACTGAGTCAGAATCTGAGGGCTGGGGCTATAACCTGGATTCTCAAAGATCTCGCCAGGTGATCCCTTTTTTTCCCCAATAGACTGTCTTTTTAGAATAGTTTGCAGAAAAATTGAGACAATACTACAGAGAATTCCCATATACTCAGTACCAAGTTTCCCATATTTGTGTATTAACATCTTAGATTAGTATGATATACATTTGTTACCATTAATGAACCAGTACTGACACAGTATTATTAACTTTTATCCACAGATTGTTTAAATTTCCTGTTTTCACTTACAGTCCTTTGTTTCTGTTCCAGGACCCCATATTACATTTAGTTGTCATGTCTCCTTAGGTTCCTCTTGGCTATGTCAGGTTCTCAGACTTCACTGTTTCTGATGACCTTGACAAGGAACTGGTCAGGTGTTTTGTAGAAGCCCACACCCCTATTACTGGAATTTGCCTGATGTTCTCCTCATGATTAGAGACCGGGAGATATGGGGTATTGGGAGGAAGAGCATAGAGGTGAAGAGCCATTTTTATCACACAATATCAAGAGTACATACTTGCAACATGACATGACTGTTGATGTTGACCTTAGTCACCTGGCTAAGGTAGTGTTGATCCAGCTCCCAACTGATTTTGATGCCAGAGAAACAAGAGGGGATGGAGAGAAGACCTTCGACCCTACAGGTGACCACCCTTTTGGGTCACTGTTCAGGAGAAAGTAGCCACAGCAAGCGGACAGCCCCCACACAGAGAGCAGTTCTTACGTGCCAGGCACCATGCCAGCACCTGACTGTCCACAACTTCATCTGTCCCCAAGAGGTGGGCGAAATTATTCTTCTGTTCTGGATGAGGGAGCTGAGCTCTCCAGGCCTCACGGCCAGGAACCCACAGGCCACGCTCGCTCAGCACTGCTCCCAGACGCTGGGTGTTCCAGAATGAAGGTAGGGGAGCCATGGAGGCTGTGGCCCCCTTTCCCAGGGTGGCAGCAGGGACAAGAAACACGTAGTGCCTCCACTCGGCCCACATTTGAGCCCTGGCCAGAGGCCAACTTGCTGCTCCTAGCCCAAGTGTTCTGAGTGGGAGATACCCACATGGAGAGAGGTTAAGACAACCAAGCTGGGGGGAGGGTATAGCTCAGGGGTAGAGTGCATGCCTAGCAAGCACAAGGTCCTGAGTTCTAATCCCCAGTACCTCCATTAAAATAAATAAATACAATCTAAATACTGCCCCCCCATAAAAAAGTATACAGTGCTGTATGTCCATTGTATATATCTCAATAAAACTGTAAGGCAAAAATTAAAAAAAAAAAGACAACCATGCCAAAACAAAACAAAAACAGGAAAAAAGTACATATGAGACCAAGGTGTTCAAAGTCAAAAGAAATAACAATGGCAGAAAAAAATGGGGGGGCAGTAATTTCCTCGAGGGTGTTAGAATAGAGCCTTCTGACCCTGCGCATGGTGTATTTACTTAACCAGGCCCTTGTCGATGGAGGGTAATCACAGTTCCTGTTTGTTCCTATTATGATGCAGCTGTGAACATCTAGGTACCTAGAACTTTCTGCAACTTCGACTTCGCTGGAAGACAGATCCTGAAACTGAACCTGCCGAGTCACAGGACAGGAGTAATGTTGATACGACTTCCAAATTACTCCTAAAAGGTTACACAGCTGTCTATTCCCACCAAGTGTAGGCTGCCCATCCATCGTCTCACAGCCTCCCTAACGCTGGTGCTGTCTTTTTCTTAAGTTTTTTAAAAGGCAAGGTAAGTCATTTCATTCTCATCTGTGTGTCTTTCATGATTAGAGAGGCTGAGCATCATTTCAGGTTTACTGACCATTTGGATTTTTCTATCTAAACACACAATTCACATCATTTTAGCCTAATTTTGTCATCTTTCTCTTACTGTTTTAAAAACTTTCTATATTACAGATATTAGTTTGTAAACATATTACAAATATTTTTATCAGTCTGTCATTTGTTTAGCGTCTTTTCCTCCATAGAGAAGTTTTTCTTTTTGAATTGAGCCACGTCTGTTGACCTTTTTTCTCTTACAGCTTCCGAGTTTTCTGTCACATGTGAAAAAGCTCCCCCTAGTCTCACGTTCTGCCCTAGTCATCAGTTCCGGCTCACGAACAATTCTCTTTATACACCCACTGCCCCACCAGCTGCCCAGCTTTTCAGTGCCTCACCTGGCCCTCCTGCTCCAAGGCAGAGTTTGGCCCCTCAGAGTCCCAGGGCCGGCCTGGACCAGGGAGCAGCTGGGTGCCCGGCCCTGGCCTCAAGCTCTTCTCCAGCTCTGCTGCCACCCGGGGAGCTGCGGCCTGGATGGCACCCTGGATGCTGGGTAGGTTCCACTGGGTCCTCAGGAGGGCATCGTCCAGGGTGAAGAAGCCATCGCGCGTGCGCCGCACTTGGGAACAGACAGCAGTGCTCTTCAGTTCTAGGCCGATTTCATGCACCAGCCTTCGCAGCTGCTTCTGCGTCTCATGCATGCACTGCACCTCTGCCAGGGACACACAGTGACAAGTGCATGGTCAGGAGCACGGCCTCTGGTGTCCGCTGATCTAGAGCCACACCCCTTGAGACCTGGCTGTGTAACAGCCTTAGCAAGACACCTTAGTTCTCTAGGGCTTTACTGGTGTAGCTCAGGGCCGACCCTGACTTTGTTAGACATGTAGAATCTCAGGACCCACCTGACCTGATGAGTCAGAATTTGCCTTTTAAAAAAACCCCCAGGTGATTTGCAGGGAGATTAAAGTTCCAGAAGTGCTGCTCTAAGACTTGGTTTGCTCATCGGTAAAATGAGGGGTTGTGAGGAATCCAAGAGATAATTTCTACAAGGTCCTTAGCTTACGGTACACACTCTTGGTTAGTACTGCAGAAAAGGAGCCCTTGTTAATATGATCAAGAGAGAAGAAAGAAGTGGCGTGGGAGGATAGGGGTGCTGAGCTGGGTGGGATCAGGCAGGGGAGAGTGGTTATCTGATGACCCACAACGACTTGAAACACTGGGTGGCTCTGGAAATGAGCCACTAAATATAAACTTTCCTTGTTAAGGTCTGGCTTCAAAGCGGGACTCGGCAGGAGACAGGACGGGGCATTTGTTCTGTGCTCTGTGTGATCGGCCAAGTCCCGCCCAAGGCCAGGAAGGAAGTCGGCCCCTGGTGCCTCGGGCACAGAGATCAGGGCTCACGGGTGCTGGCCTCTGCAAAGGCATTCCACAGTGACTCCCCAAGCCCAGGGGCCCTTTGGCACTGCTCCAACTTCTTAGTGCCTCTTACCTAAGAGGAATTCCGGGGGTGCAAACTGGAGGCATCGGATGCCGGTTATCAGCATCGGGGACTTGTTCATGGGCCGGATCAAGCCGCTCACGGCCATCTCATAGGCCTCCTGAGTCTGCAGGTCGAGGTTGGAGTACCTGGGGATCAGAAGGGGCCCGAGTGGGCAGCCGGTATGGGCGGTGGGGGAGCCGGGCTGACTGCCGACACCTGGCCCTGCCCTACTCATGCCTCTCCTGAAGCTCATCTTTCTCTTTCCATCTTATCCCTGCTCCTCCAGCCACCTCTGCAGCAGCCTTTTTCTGTCCCCTCCAATCTCTAACTGCAGGGTCTGCCCACCTCTGCACACTCTCTCTGACTTTAACTGTCAACCATGTGCGCCCTGGCTCTGTGCTGTGATGGTGTGGACCTCTGGCTTTCTTCTCCATTAGATCATATACTCCCTAGGAGGCCTGTTCCCCTTGGTCGTGGCACAAAGAAACACTTCTGCGTGCGGTGAAGGAAATGGGTGCTTCATGTCAGGCTCTGAAAGGTGGATGTGTGAAATCTGTCCCAGGGCGGGCGGAGCTGACAGGGAGCCCTCTGGGCATTTGTCCTTCCAGCACTTCCTTGAGGGCCCCCTTTCAGGGAGGTGTGGATCAGGTCTCACTTACATCACCAGGGCCTTCTGATGGGAACCTTGGATCAGGGCCAGGATTCGGTCCAGCTTCTCCCTTGTCACGTGGTCTGCAAAAGCCATGGGCTGGTCAGCACACAGGTGCCCACTGAGGAGGGGAGTCAACAAACCGGCAAGCTCCCTCCCCTCAAAGCAGCCCTGTCCTTGGAACTAGAGGGGGTCCCAGAGCATCCTCTGGTCCCAGGGTTCCCATTTAGGGGGTTGAGAGTGCTTTGAGAATCTTAAACGCTCTGGACCTTCTCAGAAAGATACTCATGAACTCAACATTTTGAGGACAATTTCAAGGGGCTCACACACTCCAGGTTAAGAACACGTTCTACTAGAAATGAGGCTCAAAGATGTAATGTGACTTGCCTGATACTCTAAACCAGGTCCCCTGAGCCCCAGTCCAGGGTTTTTCATGCTGGGGACCCTGGGAGGGAGGATGCCACCTGGTCAAATGCAGAAACAGGTGGCAAGTGGGAGTGGCTCTGTCTGCTGGTCCCAGTAAGTGACTGCGGGGCAGGCAGCAGCAAAACCTGGGGTTGCTCACAGACTCTGCGGGGAGGCCAATCCTACAGCTCAGATAGGGCAGGTGCCAACTGCTGACTCCACAGGCCAGAGTCCTGGGAGCAGGTGTGGGGACTAAAGTCTGGCCAGCTCAGAAGGGCCTGGGCCTCTGATCCTTTCTGTCTGGCTCATTATTCTGTTGTCTTACCTGGAATGCACCAGCTGCTGCCTCCTCCCCACTTATTTAAAGCTCAAGTGCTGCCTCCTCCAGGAAGCCTCTCTTGGAGCACACCTCTTCTTCCTGGCTCCTGTCACTCTGTACCTGGTCACTTTCCCAGTATTTAATTTTCTTTAGTGTTTACATTATTTTTCAATTATATAATTGATATATACATTTTCTGTAAGCAATTTAGATCAACACCAACAAACATCTCCTCTCCTCCAAATTCTGGCTTCCCCCCTCCCAGAAATGTCAACTTGGTAGTTGTCTTTAGACATTTTTTGGATGTTGACACACACCTACAAGTACAAACAGACAGCGCTGCTTTGCCGTACGTTCCAGAAGATGTAGAAGTGTATGTCTGCTCTCCTTGATAAGACTGTGAAGTCACTGAGATTGGGGATCCCATCTGATCCATCACATGCCCCCCCTAGTGTCTGGCACATGGCTGGTGCTCAAAAAAACATCTGTCAAATCAGCAAATGCAACAGATCCTATAGGAAGTCTTAGAACATGGGGAGAGTGAGAAATGAAGAATGAGCCATCTATCTACCCACTCACCCATCCAGCTACCCACCCATCTGCCCATCCATCCATCATCCACCCACCCATCCATCCATCATTCCAGCACCCACCATGTCCCAGCCCCTGTGCTGTGTGTGACCACAGGAGTAGAACTACCCAGTCTCTGCTCTCATGGGTGACATTCTGGTAGGGAGACAGGTATTAAATAATCACTAATCACTACTTGATTACTTTTCTGACAGTATATCCAGTCCAAACCTGGGGGCTAGAGGAGCTTCCCCGGGGGAGGTGACATCTAAGTGAGGCACAGAGGAGCACAGGGCATTCCCGGAAGACAAAATGACAAGTCTAAGCCCCACCAAGAGCCAGCCCAAGCTTGGTGTGTCTGAGAGTAACTGAGAGGAAGTCCTCATGGCCTATGTCGGGGTGAGGAATCACAGGAAGCAAATGAAGAGGCGGCCACAACAGCCCCTCCCGCCCATGCTGGGCTCCTGCGCAATCTCACCGTACGTTGTCTTCTCCACCAGCCGCCCATCCTCACAGAAGTCATCTGTGGCTTTGCCCAGGAGGCCACGCACTGTGTACTCCTGTGAGGACAGGAAGTGGACGGTATGGTCAGCCTCTCGGCTTTGCGCCTCAGTGCTCACACCCCTGGATGCTCAACTGAGGCTGGGGGGCCCTCAGGTCTCCCTCAGGGAGCTCAGGCGCTAGCCTCTGCCCGGCTGCCCCGTGGGGAAGGGCACTGGACTCTCCTATGATGGGAAGCACTGGCAGCCTGCAAAGGGCACTGACGGCTCCCCTACAACCACCCCAGGCCTCTGTCTCTCCACTGCCGCCCAACATGACAACTTCTCTGCCGGCCCCTCCCAGGATGTGCTATCGCTTCTCACCCCTCCGAATATGCTCTGTGTAGCCACCTGCCTCCGCCACAAAGAAAAGCAATAACATCGATGACAGAGGGGACAAAAATGTAACATCAACTGAGCATCTACCAGTGCCAGTGGCCGTGCTAAGCACGTTTCATGTAGCCAATAACTTAATCTTCAAAGTAACCCCACAGAGGAGATACAATGATCATTCCCATTTCTCTTTTAAAAATTTTTTTTGGGGGAGGTAATTAGGTTTATTTATTTAATTCATTATTTTTAATGGAGGTACTAGGGATTGAACCCAGGACCTCCTGCATGCTAAGCATGTACTCTAACCACTGAGCTATACCCTCCCCCTGATCATTCCCATTTCAAAGATGAGGAAATGGAGGCACACAGATGTTAAGTGACCCACCCTGTGACACATAGTTGGTGGAGTGGTACAAGCTGGGTCTTGAATCAAAGATCCAGCTCCAGAATTTGTACTCTTCTCTATTAAAAATACGAGCCTTCTAACATGGCATCTCTGCACACACTCGTGATGCCAGACTCCACAGCCCCGGCATGGATGCGAGCTCCCTGACACCTAGACAGTGATGTCCACTTCTCAGTCTTGGGGAGAGAACGGAGTGGTGTCATGACAAGGATCTGGTGTAAGGTGGATCCAGCTTCAAATTCCAGCTCTGCCTCTTAAAGGCCCTAGGCAAGCACCTCGTTCTCTCGTCTGTAAAATGGGTTAACAACAGATCCCACTTTACCGGGATGCTGTAAGGCACCTGCAAGGGAGTCCATAGACAGTACTCAGTATAGAGCAGCCGGCAGGCATTATGATGTTACTGCTAGTCTCCCCGAGCACACAACCATAATAAATGCTAGCTGATGGCCTGGGTATTCCCTGTGGAATCCTCTCAGCTTCAGAATCCTACCAGTGATCCCAGGGAAAGGGCCAAGGGATGAGCAGGCCACCCACAGCCCCATACCTTGGTGAGATGAGCGCTGTACATGTCGGTGAGGAGCTTGCGTCCATGTCCCACGCCAAGCACTGAAAGGCACACAGCCTGATCTCACACCTGGCTCCCTCTTCCTGTTCCCCTGGCACCTCCAACTCCCACACCCTCCAACAGAAAACTCCCACTTCCTATGCTGTGGAAGTCGTCAAGGGGGCAAGGAGAGTTTCTTCTATAGGGAGCAAGTGAACTCCTGTGTATATATGAAAATACAGATTTCCGGGTCCCACTCACATGTACTGACTCTGACTCGTGTTGGGGAGGGGGCCTAGGATCCTCAGTAAGCTCCCCAAGGGTCCTGATGCTCTCAAAAGTGAGACCACTGGCCCAGCCACACAGATCTACACTCAAATCTGAGATGGCTCTACACCTGTCCTTTAACCTCCTTGGGTCTCAGGCTCCCCATCAGTGAAATGGGGATAAAAATACTGTTTGATCCCTGTGGGTGTTGTGGTAGTTGAGGCCATGCACAAAAAGCAGTCAGAACAAAGGAAGGGCCCAATAAACAGGGGCATTGTGGCTACTCCTTGCCTTCCCCTGGGTCTGTTTCCCCCTCTGGCTGAAGGAAAGAATGACCCTTCATTCACTCCTGGAGAGGAAGAACGGAGAGGCGTATGAGATCATGTCTGCCTGCCTGTGTCCCAGGAAGCAAGACACGTTGCTGTGACTACTGTGCGTGGAGGAAGTGGCCACCGCCTGACCCTGGGGACACAGATGGCTCATGACTCGGGCTTTGTGTGTCTAGCTCCAGTGACATCCAGACCCTGGCCAGTGAGGGCCAGAGTCACGTGCTTGGCTATCCTACAGACAGTGGTGACTGTTTTCCCTCTCTGAACCACGGACATTCACTAGCCACGTTACCAAGGATGAATTACCTATGCTCCTAGAGTCTTACTTTCTTCATAAAATCATACAGTATCTACCAAATAAGGTTGTTACAGTGAATACAAAGTACAAAGGGTTTCATACATGTCACATGCAGGAATCACTTGATAAGGTGGGTGTTTATGACCTCCCCCTTTCCACCAGTCATTTCCCCAGAGGATCAGACTTGACAGGAATCGGGAGGAAGGCAGTAGTGGGAAATCCTGTCAGGTTAGAAGTGGGCTGGGCTCCTGGTGGTTCCCCAATCATCCTCCAAGCCTCTATCACAACACCCTTGGCTCACCACACCACCTACCAAGCACCCCAGATGCCTGGGCATCCAGTCGGTGTCCCACTCCAATCTTCAGGCTGGTGAATACCGGTCCACATACTGGAAAGAAATAAACAAGATCCTTTTCCTCAATAAATCTAGCCTCCAGGAAGGCTTTGGGCTGTGTGATGACCTCACTGGTAGAATGTAGCCTCGTGGAACCCAAACCAGGATCAGGCTGGAATTTCAGGCTTCCCCACCATGGAATCTGGGGCCCCAAATCATTTCTCCAGTTTTCTGGGCCCAGAGAAAGGGCAACCCAAGAGGCCTGTTACTCTGCCTTTCACCATTCCCCACAGTGAGAGCTTTCAAGTGGACTGAACATAATGCTAGAATCAAGACTGTGGGGTTCCCTATCCAGCTCCTACGGAAGGAGAGTCTTGGCCACTATCCCAGGAAGAAAATGGAGGCTGAGAGCTCCTTAAGGCAGGACCTGGGTCTGTGTGTTCACAGTTCTGCCCCCAGAGCCCAGAACTCACTGACTGCTCAGGAAATAACTATTGAAAAAAAGGAATGACCCATCAAATTAATATACATTAAGTATGTATATAACTTTTGTATATCAATTATACATCAATAAAGTTTTTTTTTAAAAAAGAATAAATGCAGGAATGAGCTAGAAGCTTTCACATTTCTGAAGATCAAAAAGAATGTCAGGGAAGGGCACAGGTGATTAAGAGTCTACTGAACCCAGGCTACATTACTTAAGACGTCAACCCTGAGCCTCAGTTTCCTCATTTGTGAAATGGGACTAGGACTCAGTGGGGTGGTACCTGAGAAAAGCTAAACACAGTATCTAGTATAGAGTAGGTCTTCAACACAGCATACTTGTCACTGATGTTATACTGTAGAGTCACTGAATATGTCTGTCCAAGGGGTTTTAGAGGGTCCTGGTCAAGCTCCTTAGCCCTCCTACAGCCTCCCCAACACATGTCTTAATCACATCTAGTGACAGGAGGCTCATTATCAGAACTAGTTCTACTCTGGGCAGAGCTGTTAACTAGTAAGTCACTCTTTCGCAGGAGCCCAAAAACTCCCTCCTTAGGACATCTTCCTGAGGGTCTCAATTCCCACCTGGAGTCCCAGAATAATAAAGGGGTCAGCAAACTACAGCTCACAGGTCAAATCCTCAAGTCTGTTTTTCTTTTTTTTTTTTTTATGGCCCACAAGTTAAAATGGTTTTTACATTTTTCAACGTAAAAAAATCAATGGTTCATAAAACTCAAGAGGATAATATTCTAAGACATGAAATTCTATAAACTTCACCTGTCAGTATCTACAAGTAACACAGCCAGGCTCATTGCTTTACATACTGTCGACAGCTGCTTCTGCACTACAATGGCAGAAGTGAGCCCGCAAAGCTAAAACACTATCTGGCCCTTTCCAGAAAAATTTGCCAATATCTGGTCAAATATTTTATTCCCACTGCGGCCCTACATTGGTTTTGGGACAGTAGTCTGAGCACTGGCTTCCTGGGATGTGACATCCAAGCCCCTTCATGAATGTGCTTTACCCAGCGGGTGGTCGACGAGGGTGGGCACGCTGGTGACTGTGAGGGTCAGCTCCTTCTTTTCGCTGCCTTCCATGGGACCCGGCAGGAAGCGAACATGCTGTTCAGGGGCAGGAGGCTTCCCAGCATTGAGACCTGAGCACACACAAGTAAAGGACATCTTGTCAATTTTGTCTGAACACCTGGTTGGGGGTTGGGGGTGCAGGGAAGTATGGACATGTAGAAGACAGATGAAAGCCCACGGTGCAGAGAACAACAGTCGTTAAGAAACAGACGGGTTCAAATCCTGATTCTACTACTTATTAACTATTTAAGACAACAGACAACACTGAGTTTGTGTACACCATCTGAACACAGGTGAAAGCAAGGAGTAACAACACAGTGTGGAGAACAGACGACTAGGTCACATGACTTGATTTTGCAGCAAGGATCAGAAGCGGACAAGGGACTTCTAGGAAAACGGGAGCGGGATTGTGAGTCTGGCTCAAGGCACTTACCTTTCAAAAGCTGCAGCTCCACTGTATCCCGCAGATGCTTCCATTTTAGCCCCGGGGGCTTGTAGACAGCGAAGAGCCCGTGCAGCCGAGCCAGGCCGGCAGACGCCATGCCTGAAACCCGCCGCCCCGGCTGGCAAAAAAGAGGAAACCAGACGGAAGTGCTATATGGTCCCGCCCCCAAACGTGGTCCTTCCAATGGGCACCGCCATGTTTCGCAGCCGGAAGAGGTTCGCTTCGTATGGTGCTCGGGGAAAACGTACTGCGAAGGAAGTAGGGTCCGGCGCTGAGCCTCAAAGCTAGCGGGGCTTACTTGGAGACAGATTTTGGGGTAAGGTGAAATGGGGAGAGTTTATATCCGTGGAAGTAGGTGGCAGAAAGGTCACCTGGGTTTCCTAACACTTAGTGATAGGGACCTTTCCTGTCCGTGCCACTCCTTTACCCCCCAAAAAGCCCTACTCGTTGCAGTAGAGATCGAGTCTTTTTGACTTCTCCGGCGCGCCGTCTCCGGAGAAGTTTAGCTTGTGGACCTCGCCATGCCCATCCTCCCGCGGACGTCCGACAATGTCCGCTGCCATGGCGACGCTGCTTCGCCGGTCCCTGCGCCCACTCCGCGCGTTCAGAGGCCACCCCCGGCCCGCTGCAGGCAAGTGGCTGAAACGGGAAGGAGTGCTGGGGGCCCGTCTGCTCCTTTGACCGCAGTCTTTTCTTGCCCCGCAGATGTGCCCCTCCGAGCCACGAGCCATGACACCGGCCTGCTGTACCCCGAACACATCCCCACCTCCCTGCTGCAGAAGGCCCTGCTTGCCGCTGGCTCTGCGGGAATGGCGCTATACGACCCGTATCGCCACGGTAAGGCCGCTCGCGCCCGGCGCTCCCTTAGGGCAGCTAGAGGTGGGGGCGTGCTCTTGCTTTGGAAGCCCGAGGAGGTCCCGGCCACTGCCAAAGCCTCCGTTTCTTATGGGTAACTGGAGGCTAGACTAGTCCAGGGTACCCAAACCTGGCTGCACCTTATAATGACTCGCAACATTCGTAAAAATGAAGACACCTGGGTCCCACCCTAAACTTACTCAATTCTAATCTGTCGGGAATGGGGAGCGGGGGGAGGGGGGAGGAAGGGGCGGGGAATCTGAGCTGCCTTTTTAAACTGCTTCCCGGTAGAGCCTGTCATCCAATCACACTGAGAATCTCTGGACTAAATAGATGACTTATGAGCACCCATCAGATTATAACATCCGGTTTGAAACTAAACTTCATGAGGTCAGGGGCCATGACTGCCCTGTTCTACTGTAGTGGTAATGTTTTAGATATTGCATGGCACATAATGCTCGATAAATGCTGAGTGTTTAAATAGAACATTCTAGGATCCTACAATGCTTTTCTCATCTCCTCTAGGATTCTTAAGTATGGAAAGTACTATTACCCCTACTAGTAAAAACGATAATGCTAACTGATCACTGAGTCCTTGTTTTGGTTGCTCACTGTGCTAAGTGTTTTATATGCATGATCTTGATTTTTCACGTTAACCTTATAAGAAAGGCGTTATCTGCACTTCACAAATTAGGACACTGAGAGTTGGAAATGTGAAGCAGTTTGCACAAGGTCACCTACATAGTGACTGTGCCTGGGCTCAAATCCAGCACTCTTTGATGCCAAAGCCTACACCTATCCATGGAGATGCAATATTCTGTCGTGATAATGGATGTTAAAGTGATTTATAGACTCTTTAGAGTACTGTGCTAACCAGAGCCACCTCACCCCATTAGATTAATAATGTTAATAACTATAGGTATATCAAGCTTTTACTCTATGCCAGGTGATTCACTGTTTAACTTGAATCTTCATAACTAAGAATTAGATATTCTGTTTTTATCATATAGGAAATTAAGGCTCAGACTACATCAGGTAACTTACCTAAGATCATATTCTCCATTTGTCCCCATTTCTTTCCTTTCAGACATGGTTGCAGTTCTAGGGGAGACCACAGGATACCGTACCCTGAAGGTCCTCAGGGACCAGATGAGGAGGGATCCAGAGGGTGCCCAAATCCTGCAGTAGGTCCCAGCTCTGCCCGGGGGGTTGGGGGCGTTCTCCTAGGATTCTGATCTCACTGGAGTCACACTGTGTTCCTCTAGGGAGCTCCTCTTGATACCCTATGGATGGTTGCACAGGCTGGGCACCGCCCAACACCATGGGCGCCATTCATGTGGACACTGATGACCCCTGGGTAGTGTGGTATGGTGACCTAAGCCCAGTTCCAGCAACAAGACTCTGCCTTCTCTAAGGTCCCATAACACATGCTACCTGTAACCCCCAAGCCTGCAATGTCTTTGTGAACACCCTGATCACATCTGAGGCCTGCCTACCTAGATTGTGCCCCTGCAAGCAGGAATCATCGCCTTAGTTTGTGGTAGTCCCTGCCACCAGCCTGGCCAGTAGGAGGTGCTCCATTATGACTTGTGGCCCCATTGCTGCTCTCTGCCCCTTCATCTGTCATGCCCTTGTTCTAGCTGGACCTTTCACCTGCCTTTGCTGGTGCCTTCCCAACTCTTGAGTCCTGCTTTCTGCCTCTCAGGGAGCGTCCCCGCATCTCACTGGCCACCCTCGACCTGGGCAAGCTCCGGAGTCTGCCTGAGGACTCCTTTGGCCGCGAGTATCTCCGTTTCCTGGATGTGAATGTGAGTTTCCAGCTTCTGTGCACTTGGCAGTCATCAGGAAGGGCAGAGGAATGATACAGGAGTACTGTCTCGAGGAAGGAAGAGCCTGAGCTGCCACCATGGGCAAGAGTGCCTTGCAGTCTCTTGTACCAAGGCTTTGTCGTTTTTCTGTGGGACAGGCAAATAGGCCAGGAACATTGCTCCAGGCAATAAAACTGGCCAGCATTTATTAACCTCTTACTGCATGCCAGATACCAGGCTCATACATGATTTCACCAAATTGTCCCAACAACCTGGTCAAATATGTTGTATTATTATCCCCTTTTAATAAATGAGGAAACTGAGGCTCAGAACAGTTAAGCAATTTGCTGATTTTACAAGCCAGTAATAATGGAGGCAGTATTCAAATTCAGGTCACATTCTTAACTGCTGTATTGTGTATCCTGGTTCTAGAAACAGCATTTTCTAGACAAGTTTGGCACTCTCCAACCCTAGGCAGGAAGGACAGTGGCTGAGGGACGAAGTCCCAGCTACTGAGGGCCTCACTCATTTGTTCAGAATTGGCCATGTGCCATCCATTATTCCAAGTGCTAGGGATATAATGGTGAACTAGACAGACAAGGTCCTGCCTTCATGGAGCTAGTATTATGTCTTAACAAAAGGGAGCAGTAAAAGAAAAAAAAGTCACAAAAAATTTTCATACTTAGAACATGAGACACTGTCCCCAGCAACTGGGATACAACGAATTAAACCAGCAAAGAGCGTGCCCTTGTGGAGCTTCTGTTGTAGGAGATGGTGCCGTGAGGACAGCAGTCAGTGTGACAGAGGACTGGGGTGGGGTGGGTGGGTGGTCCAGGAAGCCACTTCTAATGGGGTGGTCATGGGAGGCCCTGCGGAGGAGATTTGGAAGATGAGGAGGAGCCAGCCCTGAATAGAGATGGGGGGAGCATTCCCAGTAGAGGAACTGACTCTTTGTGTTTAAGAAAAGGAAAACTGACGAATGTGGCCATAGAGAATTCAGTTGTGAGGAGGCATCCAGTGGGCTGGGAGGTCAGCCTAGCCCAGCCAGGCCCTGCCTGCCATGGGAAGTGTTACCCAAAAACGAGATTCACCTCTTGGAGGAGGTCGAGCTAAAAGACACAACCAAGCCAAAGATTGGGAGGAGGAAGATAGCAGCAAGTAAGGAGAACACTGGAGATCTTTTCTAAAGCAGTGCCTCCCCAAACCACAAAATTAGGGAAGTTTTAAGCTAAAAGTATATGCATATTCATGAAGGGGCTTGAGCAGAGGAGAATTCAACATAGAATTAGGGCAAAGGTTGACCTAAGAGTCCAAGCTACAGCTGACTGAAGTCACAAGGTCAGCATTATCATTTCTTAGGTAGTTACCATTCTTGACCTGGGTGGGGGACTTAGTTCCTGTAGAACGACTTAAAGATAATGTATCAGATTGTTCTGTATACCCTTTTAGGAGGAACTGGGGCTGTGTTTTATCACTGAACTCTTCTTTCTTGACGCTTTTCCTCTGTCCCTGAATTCCTTTTCCTTTAAGATCCTTAATTACTGAGACCTGTTCAAGGGCCAACATTGTGGCCAGGCTTAGATCACAAAATGGCTTAGGCCAAAATGGCTTCTCTTATGTCAAGAAAGCCATGCCTGGTTTTCTTTCTCCAGGGACCCCCTACCCTATCTACTTAAAGAAAGAGTCTATATTTTGTAATAGAAGCGATAGGAAAGTTTTCGAGCAGGATAGTTACATCATCTGATTTATAAAAGGACGTTAGGACACAGCAGGGCACCTTCCCTGACCCTACCCATCCTGGCCCCCAACACATACATATCCCATCAAAGCACCTCTGTTAAGTGGCTCTCCATTCTAGCTGCAGGAGCCAGCCAGGCTGGAGGTGAAGGAGTGAGCAAAGATTGTTCTAGAACTAGGTTTCTCAACCTTGGCACTGTTGACTTTTTGGACTGGATAGTTCCTTGTAGGAGCTGCCCTGTGCACTGCAGAATATTTAGAGCATCCCTGGCCTCTACACACTAGATGCCAATAATACACACCCCACCCAGCTGTAACCACTATAAATGTTTCCAGATGTTGCACATGTTCCCTGGTAGACAATTGAGAACCCCTGCTATAGGCGATTATTGTCCCTGAGAAAACAATCTGCTCCCCATACTCTCCTGACACTCGCCCCCACCCCATTTTATACCATCTCCCTCAGATTTCACCAAGATGCAAGTTATTTCATCAGTGGGAAACCCACCAGGATGACCTGCTCCAAGTACCACCCAAGAACAGACAGTCGTCTTCTGAAGTCCCCCAGAGCCTTTTGTCCTGCTGCTGTGGAGGGGATGGGACCCCCAAGACCTCCCTGGGCACCTTGCCCAATCACAGCCCTAGTTGTGGCAACAGCCCTACAGATTGTGACACTTCTGGAGCACAGAAACCAGCAGCCCATGAAATGTAAAGGAATACCTTTGTCCTAGCAGAGGTTTAGAGCAAAGTTCATGGTGAGGTCATACTCCCTGAGGCTGACATGGGTAGGGGCTATAGTCATCCTTGTGGCATCAAGATTATAAGCATGGGCTCTGGGGTTAAGAGTAGCCTGAGTTACAATTCTGCCTCTCTTCCCAGCTTTAAAGCCCTGGGCAAATCATTTGACCTCTGAGCCTCAGACTCCTTATCTGAGGTAAGGAAACCTAATGTTTATCTTCCAAGGCACTTATATGGCTGATTAATAATGGATGTTAAGGCTTTGGAATCCAGCAGGCTTTGTTTCAAATCCTGACTCAGCCACTTGATTAGCTGTGTGATCTTGAGCAGATTATCTCTCTGAGCCTTATTTTTCTTATCTATATCTGAGGCTTATAACAGTATCTACCCCCAGATGGTCTCTACAATACTGTATGATAATATGTGTAAAGGACTTCATACAGTGTTGGCACACAGTAGGTGCTCAATAGATGTCGGCCATCACTGTTACCACCATCAGCTTCACGCAGCAGGTAGAACCCTGTAGAAGAAATCAGGACCAGGAACCCAATGAGGTCACAAACACAGACCATGGCACTGAGCCAGCAGTCCCAAGCAATAGAGGCGTCAAACCCCTTGGCCTCTGGATAGGCTGAGGCTATGCTTTGGGAATAGGAAGGCCAGGCTCCTCCCACTCTGCATGGGTGCTGCTGAGGGTTCAGAGAGGCGCTGGGTGGGTAAAAGGAGGACAGTTGCATCCTTACCTGGGATCAGAAAAGTGCCTGTGGCTTGCCTTTTGCTCGTGCATTTAAGAGATGTTTATTCATCCAGAGCCTGGAGATACAGCTGTGAGCAAAACAGAGCCAGCCTGTCAACAGTCCTGTGCTGCTGACTGGCTGCTGCAACACTGATCATAGACATAGCATGCAAGCTGTATACGTAGTTTAAAATCTGCTGCTAGCTACTTTAATAAAAGCAAAAAGAAACAGGTGGAATTCATTTTTACTTTTTGGTTTTTTTTGCAGCAGGGAGGTAATTAGTTTTATTTATTTAGCTTTTCAGTGGAAGTACTGGGGATCGAACACAGGGCCTCCTGCATGCTAAGCATGTGCTCTACCACTTGAGCTATACCCCCTCCCCCGGAATTCATTTTAATAACATTTTGTTTAACCCAATATACTAAAATAGTTCAACATGAAGTCAGTATTTTTAAATTATTGAGATTTCACATTATTCTCTTCATACCAAGTCTTTGAAATCCAAGGTGTATTTTACATGTACAGCCCATCTCGGTTGGGACTTGTCACATTTCAAGGCTCAGGGGCCATAATGTGATGGGCTGCTATACTGGACAGTGCAGGTCTAGAAGAGAGACATTAACAATCACATGCACAAACTAAAAACCAAAATAAAAAAAAATTCTTTTAATTAAATTTTTAAAATTAGGGAAAAAACCAATCACATGCACTAAACATCATAATACAATTGTGTTAAAAGCCACAAAAAGATACAGGATGCTACAAGAGACCATAACGTGGACCTGATCTGCCTGAAGCTCAGACACAGCCTTCCCACAGAGGGGACTCTTAAGCCAGGTTGTAAAGGACAGGAATTGTCAAGGGGAAGATGAGGGTGGCAGGAAAGAGTACTCTAGACTGGGCTAAGCTCATCTAAAGCATTAGGGGTCTTGGTTGCTTCTTTTTTTTTTCCCATTTTGTTTCTAATTGTGATTTTAAAAAATAACATAAGATTTACTATCATAACCATTTCTAAATGGACTTTTCAGTAGTGTTTAATTTAGTCATATTATTGTGAAACCAATTTCCAGAGCTTTCCCATCCTGTAAAACTAAAACTATACCCATTAAACAACAACTTCTGCTTCCCTCTCCCTGCAGGGGCTTCCCCCTGCCCCCAGGGATTTCTTTGCCATAGATTCCAACAGGGTGTGTGTGTTATGTGTGAGCTGGGGTAGGCCAAGGGGGTGCCGATCCCACCATAGTCCCTGCCTGAGGACTCCTGTGTCAGCAGGGAAACAAAGTCCCCGGGGGCTTTTGGTGAGGTATGGGTTTGGTGGGTGGGATTGAGAGTCAAGGAGAGGCTGGCAAATTGGACCCTGGGAAACATTGGGAAGGGATTTAGGTGAGGTTCCTGGTTGTTAGAGGGTCTCCCCAGACACCCGAGCGCCCACCCGATTCGTGGACGATGAGGAGCTGGCGTACGTGATCCAGAGGTACCGGGAGGTGCACGACATGGTCCACACCCTGCTGGGGATGCCCACTAACATCCTGGGTAAGTGCCAGCCAGCCAGCTGCTGGGTGCATCGGAGTGGGGCATGGGTGGGGCGGGGTGCTTCTGCCAGTCTGTCCCAGGGTCTGTCTGCAGGGCCAGGGCAAGGCGCTCCTGTCTCAGCCACCTCCCAGTTAGCTGGCTTAGTGCCTCATTTTTTGCTTTACTCAAACATCTTGGTACGTCTGTGCGATGTATCCCCTATCTTCCATTCCCACTGCTTCTTATGGCTCCTTCACTGATGTAGCAGCATCCAAACACCAGGGCTCCCTGCCACACTCTGGTTGTTAGCTCCCTGCACTCTGAAACCCTCAGCAATTCCCTAAGCCCTGGACTCCTCAGCCTGGCTTTTGGAGTCCTCTGCATTCTGACCCCAAGCTTCCTTTCCAGCCCTATTTCCTTCTGCTATTTTCTTGGACCCTCTCCCCAACCCCAAGCCAAGTGCCCCAGGGCCCATCACAGGCCAGGACCAGGCACTTGCTAAAAACTCTGGCAGAGATCAGAGGGGAGCAGACATCTCCTTGTGCCCTCCCTGAGCATCACTGGCCTCTCTACCTGGCCTCTGCTCACCTCCCACCCATTCCCCACCCTGCCTGCCAGGGGAGATCGTGGTGAAGTGGTTTGAGGCTGTCCAGACCGGCCTGCCCATGTGTATCCTGAGTGCACTCTTTGGACCCATCCAACTCAGTGCCCAGTAAGTTCTCAAGTGGTGAGGGGTCAGGGGAGAGCTCAGAGGGGTCAGGGCTCCAGGAAATAGGAAAAGCCTGCTGCCTTTCTGAGCAGCCGCAGTGGTTCTCCAGGAAGCCAGGGTGGGAAGAATGGGGCAGAGAGGTGAAACTGGCCTGGCGCAGGGGCTCCGGGACAGACGACAAATGAAGCCTGGACGTTTCATAGGACTCTAGGATCTCTTGGGCCAGGCCTCAATCTCAGGTCAAAACAGTGGAGTCGGGACTGGAGGGGTCAGGGGGATGCCATCTGGCATTAGTTTCTGGAGCTAGTAGCCCTCAATTTAAATCTGGGCTTTGGCATGTTTGGCTTTGGACAGGGTTTTACCTCACTGAGCTGTTGTTTCCTTATCCGAAAAGTGGGGATAAAAACTGCCTCCTTCTTGGGTCTGTGTGAAGTTTAACTGAGAAAATGCATATCCACTGCTGAGCACATGTCTTGGCCAGCACTTAAGACATTCTGTCTTGTTCTTCTGCTGCCCCACAGGAGCCTGCAAGTGCTGGTCTCGGAGCTGATCCCTTGGGCAGTTCAGAATGGACGCAGGGCCCCGTGTGTCCTCAACCTGTACTACGAGCGGCGCTGGGAGCAGCCCCTGAGGGCTCTGCGGGAGGAGCTGGGCATCACAGAGCCCCCCAGGCGCATCGAAGGCCTGGCCTAGGCCCTGAGCTGCTGAGCCAGGAGGGCCTGGCCTGGCTCCCAACCCCCGACCCCTGCTTCCCCTGGGGACAGAGCACTCCTTTGACATTAATTTTGTTCCTTTTCTTTGCACACTGACCCTTGGACATTATGAGTCACAATTTATCATAACCACTGCTGAGCAGCTGTGAGGGCCAACCTGGGAGGGAGCAGGCAGTACCTTGGAGCTCCTAGGGGAGCCGAGAGCCAAAGAGAATAACCTGTGAGCAGGAATCATTGTTTAGGCTTGTGCTGGGATAGGTCAGGTCCACAACCCCTGTTCCCAACCCCTCCCTGCCAGCCAGGGTTTTCTGGGTGCCAGGCTCTCTGGTAGGAGGGCAGGCTATACCCAGGTCAAAGGCCTGAGAAGAGGGAGGCAGAGGGGGAGGTGAGTCTCCGCATTCTGAATAAAGGCTCCCATCAGGTCTAGAGTCTGCTTCTCCTGCTTTTGCCTGGTGCTGCCCAGGACTCTGGCAGCCTAGGGCCTCTGAGCCCTGAGGGCCGACATTCCCTCCAGCCTGAACTTCCGCTGCTTGTCCCATCTCCCCTGAAATTAGGCAGATTGGGATTCAAATTCCCAACTCCACCATTTTCTAACAGAGGAACTTGCAGGCAAGTCCCTTCTACTCTCTGAACTGTTTCATCATCAGTAAAAGGAGAAAAAACAGCTCCCAACTCCTAGGGTTATGGTGGGGATTTTGTTAGGTGATGCCCAGAGAAATGTTTGCAGGTGGAGGAGGCAGCTGTGAGGCTGCAGGCTCATTGGAATGGCAGCAGGCGTTTTCCTAGAGTCAGAGCCAAGGAGTGGGGATGGCAAAGTGCAAAGCACTGTTGGAAGAGTATGCGGCCCTGTCTTGGGATTTAAAGCCAGAAACTCTCCCAAGATGTCAGAGCCTTTAGAGGTTTTGGAGGCCAGATCCTCATTGTGTGGGTACAGCAACTAAGGCCAAGAGATAGGCAAAGAATTGTCTGGAGTAATAGAACACAGGGCACAAGGCCTGGTTGGTGCTCCTGTGCCTGCTTCCCTGTGGATATTAAGGGCTACCGTTTATAGCTGTACTGTGTGCCTTAGCAGCTGAGATGCATTGTCATGCTGATACCTCCAACAACACAGAGGGAGGTGATACTATTACTTGTATTTTACTGGGGCAGTAGGAGCGGAACTAGGGCTGGAATCGGGTTGTCTGAAGACCCGTAGCACTGCCACACTGGTGCCTCAGCCTTCCTCGTGCCCACCGTGTCCCAGTCCAGGGCTCCCAGTGGCAGAGGGAGGATGTGGGAGGCTGGAGGCCTACACTGGAACCATGGCCTTTTCAAGAGGGAAGCCTCATCCTGAGCTCTTGGGAGTTTCTGCAGAAAGAGGAGGGGACTGGGGTGAGCTCCCCATACTTTGCCCTAGAGACCACCTTTCCAGACCTGCCAGCTATTTCCACGGCTTCCCAAGGTCCCAGCCACCTCTAACTTGAGGTCAGTAAAAGTCAGCAGTGCCAATGTTGAGGGGAAGGACAGACCCTCAGATGGTCTCTGTCCAGCTGGTGCCCTCACCAGCTCAGGCCACTCGGTGCCCAGATGACCCTGGGCTTTTATAGCACTTGAGAGATGGGCCCTGGACATCAGGATTAGCTGGGGATGGAGCCTGGTCTCTAGATCACAGGGTAGCATTTTTGTCATCAGCTCAAGATGGGTTCTCCCGTTAGAATGGCAATAGCTGCCACTTAATGAGTTCTTACCACAGCCCGTGAGTCCTGCCAACTTTTGCCTAGAAACTTCCATTCTTCATCTGAATAAATCATGTTGGTGTTCTTCCTACCTTTGGGAACAACATCTTGTCCTTACGTGGTGAGCTCCTTGTCATTCACACCTGTGTTCAAATGCCACCTCGGAGAAGCCTTCCCCGACCATCCTGTCTGAAGCAGACCCCTCACCCTCACTCCATCTCATCACCTTATTGTCTTTATAGTGCTTACCAGCCAGAAATTCTCTTATCGGTTAGTTTATGAGTTCCATGTGCTCCAGGAAGGCAGGGACTTTATTCTTTGCCTTCACTGCTGGGAACAGTGCCTGACACACAGTAAGAGCTTGCTGCTTGGTGGCTGAAGGGATGGGTGCCAAGCCCCTAGTGCCCCACCTGCAAGATCTCATTCGGTCCCCACAATAACCTCACTTGCAGTAAAGACTGCGTTTCAGGTTTGGGGGGTTGTCCTAGGGTCACACAGTTGGGATATGGTGGAGCTTGGCTGGGGATACATAGGCCTTGAGTCCCCTCCCAGTAGCCCAGGGGAAGCTCCCTTCCCCTCTGCCTGATAACAGTCTTATGTAGCTGACTCTAGAGCAGTGTTTGGGGTACAGGCTCTGAAGGCAGACAGACCTGGCCCTACCACTGACCAGCCCTGCACCCTTGCAGTAGTCACAGCACCGCTTTGAGTCTCTGTTTTCTCATCTGTAAATGGGAGAGTATGTATCTATCTCACAGTAGGGGCACTGTGTACATGTAGTGCTTTCGTATGTAATAAGCACTTAGGAAATGGAAGGCCCTTTGAGGTCTCTGAAGTCACCATGTACACAATCTAGCCAGAGGTATTTATTTTGCATACACCCAGAGTGGAAGGATTTATACAGCTTAGAGGTCCAAATGCCAAAGGCAACTGAGTATCTATGGGGTAAGCATCTACTCTGTGCCAGGGCCAGATCACTTCATGCCCCTGGGGAGGTTGAATTCCTTCAAGTGAGTTCAAGTGTTAGTCTGGTAAGTCTGGAGATTTAAGCGCTGATGTTTCCTAATGCAGGGCAGTTGGGAGTTGCATCAGTGGAAGTTAGCCTCAGTTCAGCCTGTCCCACAAAAGACAGCACCCAGCTCGCCCTTCTTAAGAACCCTCCGTGGTTCTTCACTGCCCTCAGCATAAACTCCTCAGCCTAGCACACAAAGGCTCTTCCAATCACTTTTCCCACTGCCCACCTGTGTATCCTGGTGTACAAGCCCACTAGTCATCAATTATTTCATCAAGATTGTCTAAGTATTTGCCGAATGCTGGAGTTCCGCAGTGACCAAGACAGCTGCATCCCCACCCTCTTGGGGTTGAGCAGTTACAGCAGCTGAGGGCATTCCACGTGCCAGCCCTGTGCCAAGAGCTTGATGTGCATCATGTCACTGAATCCACACTCAGCCTGAGGTATGAGACAGAGGCAGAGACCATGATGACTATTTCCATTCTAACAAGGACACTGAGGTTCCAGGAGGAGTGGTGACTTACCCAATGACTCACAGCTGAGGCTGGGAGTGCAACCCAGCCTGGCAAGCAAAGAAGACAACAATGCGTCCTGGGTGTTGACAGAAGTTCCATATGCTCCAGGTGATGAGCACTTGGTGAGAGACAACTTATTCTAGTGACCTAATCTCCACTCACCTTCTCTGTGTGTCCAGCTAGACCGTGAGCAACTTGAAGGCTGACTGTCTTGTCCCCTCTCTGTCCCTCTTGCATCTCCCCTTAAGGCCTGGCCCAGTGTATGTTGGGGGTACTGCGTTGGCTTCACCAATGTGGCCTGGGAGCAACGGGGCTGGTCACCACTGCCTTCCTCCAAATTCTCATGTGCCCACTTTGCATGTGACCTCAGCAGTCGAAGTGGAAATGATCGTGCTTATACCTCTGGACCCTGGTGTGGATAAAGTGAGAGCCTCCAATTCACTCTCCCCGTCATTCATTCAACAAACATTTATCGAGCCTCTGTTATGTGCTAAGCCCTGTGGATACAATCAGAGATTATCTTCCTGTCTAGATTTTGTATGTACTTTGTGGTCAGTGAGCCTGTGAGCTACAATAATAAATATGACTGCATACCAACCCAGTGGGGTAAACACCATTAGTATGTCCTCATTTTAAATGGAGACTAGAACTTTCAACTGAGAAGTTGACCCTGGTCTGTTGGATGCCAGTACCCATGTCCACAATCCCTGCATCACACTGCCTCCTGAATGTACTACCCATGAGGGAGGTGGTGCTTTACTTTACCTAGGTTCCCTATAAGGATGCACCTGTACTCTGGAAGAAATAGGTCCAAATACTTATCAGGCAAAACTATTTCATTTTTAATTCCTATAAATAGACCCTGAAAACTGCCCCTCCCCACTTTTAAGGACTTCTATTGGACTAAGGGATTAAGGGATCTATTTAAGGAAAAGTGGCAACTGTGGATGCCCAACATGTTTGATTATCAAGGAACCAAGTTTTCAGAAGCCTAGAGGAAGGACTGGGAAGCTGGCCTATGGCATGACAAATATGGTCACAGTCTTAGAGGTTAACTGATTTGCTGCAGAGTCCAGAACGATCAGAGGCCAAAGATTTGCACAGACTCCAGATCCATGCCCTTTGAACAACCAGGTGTGTCAAGTTGCTTTCAAGATACCACGGATGTGAAAGGATTCCTACGACGCCAAGTTTATTATGTAACAGAGGCTGGCCTCAGGTCTGCAGGAGTTGGGGGTCTTTTGAACCTTATCTCAATGGAATCTGTAAAATATCCGAATGGAAGTTAAAGAGAGCCTGTCAAAACTCGACTCTGGTGGGACTCGAACCCACAACCTTTGAATAACCACACCCGGATTGGCTAGAAGTCCAATGCGCTATCCATTGCGCCACAGAGCCGGTCACTTAAAACCCCGCCCCTCGGCTCACCTCTGCGTGAAATCGCCCTTTAGCGCTCTTCTAGGTGTGACGTTGGGCCTTTGCTGAACTCTGCTCTGGTCTGGAGGCAGACTCAGGATCCTCCACCAACGGTGCGGTGGAGGTGCTCTACCCGATGTTTGGTCTTCCAGGGATTGGGGGTCGGGGTCCCAGCAGAGCCCGCCTGTCTCCTTCCGGCCGCGGGGGTCTCCGCGGCCGGGCGGGGTTGCGCGGCGCGGACTACAGTTCCCAGCGTGCCGCGCAGGGCACTGCCCGAGGCCGTCGCGCGCGCTGGGCGGGCTGGGTCTGGCGGCGTCGGGAACGCAGAGGCTGCGCTGCGCCGCCGGCTCTGCGGCTAGCTCGCCGTGGGGAAGGCGCGGTAGGCGGCGTTGCCGGCCGGCGCAGCCGGTTTGGGTTGCAGGAGGCGGGCGGGGGAGGAGCGCCGCGGGCGGGCGGGGCCAGCTGGGCGGCCGGGCCATGCAGGGCGCAGAGCCGGCTAAGTGCTACTGAGACCCGGCTCTGCGCGCCCAGGAGCGGCTGGTGCCCCCCGCGCTCCCCACTCTGCTACCGCAACTGGGCTACATCTGGACAGGGCGCCGCTCGGCGGGGCCGAAGCCGGGTGAGCACAGGCCAGGCCACTGGGTCTCCGGGCAGGGGAATGTGCTGAGGTCGGGGGCGCGCCCTGCTGTTCCGTCTCCTTGCCGGGCGCTCTACGACCCTGGCTCAAAGGGCCAGGGCGGTCCGCAGTGACCTGGGACCGGGGCCTGAGGGATCTAGGTATCCCCTTCTCTCCTTGTCACATTCCCCAGACATCCAGGACAGGTTCTTGCCTTCTGACCTGTCAAGCTCTGGGAGGCCAGAGTCTGAGGACTTTGAAGATCTTTAGCGTTGGAGTTGGTTTGGGCCCCTTCAGCTTTTGCTTTTCGCATGGAGGATGAGGTATGGTCTAAGGGCTCCCTGTGATCCAGACCATGTCCTCATCAAGGCTTGGAGAATCTCAGGGTACTTCACAGCCGTGACCTTCAGCCCCTCCCCGGGGAATAGGAGCACATAGGGAAAACTGAGTCCCATCTGCTGCTCCTTGAGCAAGTCCATAAAGCGCCAGAAATAGAGCCCAGGAGTCCTAATCTCAGGTCTGCCAGCCATTCCTCTCCCCTTTAGCCCTAGTCTCCAAAGATTCATCTGAATGACTTGCTGAGTGTATTTGTGGGGATGCCTTCAAGACCCTCTTCCTCTCTGTCACCTTTCTCCTCTGGGCGGTCACCTCTCAGGCATCTCCAGGCTCTAACCTGTTTTCTCCGTCGCCCTCTGTGGGCCAGCAGAGGCATGGCGCTACCTGAGACTGGGTAGGGACTGAGCAGGGTCCCTTCCCAGGAAGCTGTCACTTTGGGTGTTGTGACTTGGCCTGATCATCTACAGAAACTCCCTAGGTCTCTTGGGGGGAGTTGAGCGAAAGGCACTTAAGTCAATACCTGCTCCAAGCCATTTTGGTTAGGATCCTGGTTGGCAGGAGAGTGGACTCCTGTTTTGGTTGGAAGGGCCTCTAAGAGCAATTCTCATTATACCTGTTGCACAGAGTAGGAGACTAAGGACTCAAGTGGGAAAGGGGGCCCAAGGTCATTCAGAGATTCATAAATGGGACTAGGGAGCTAAAACCCAGCCTCTGCCTCTCAGTCCTGGATCTCCTTACCTCAAGTTCCATACCTCTAGCCTGACCCTTTCAGACAACCCAGGCAAGAGACCCTGTCCTCAGCTACCCTACTCAATGTGGCTAAGTCTGACTACAGGTTGACCCTTTGGGATCATAGTGGCCTGGCTGCCTGGGCCCAGGCATTGGGTCCACTGACTGCCCTGTGCCCACAGGGCCACAATGCTGCTTGGGGCATCTCTGGTGGGGATGCTGCTGTTCTCCAAGCTGGTGCTGAAACTTCCTTGGACCCATGTCGGGTTCTCCCTGCTGTTCCTCTACCTGGGGTCTGGCGGCTGGCGCTTCATCCGAATCTTTATCAAGACTATCAGACGTGATATCTTGTGAGTACCTGGGGTACAGCGCTCCCTGGGGTCTCCTACATTGTGCTAGGCTCCTAACCCCAAAAATCTCAGACCAGACCCACGGCCTCTGCCAGCATAGGGTACCTGGGCCCCAAAGGAGCAGCCTTTGCTCCACGCCCTTCCCCTGGTAGTAGTACAGGTATCTCCATCTCCAAGGTCAAAGTCTCCTCCCAGAGAATTTCCCTAACTCGGTGCTCCTTAGCTTGAAGCAGACTTGGGGGCCTGGGACATCAAACACCAGGTGTGTTGAGGAGACATTTGTAACTATAGCTTGTGAGAGGGTGAAGAGGAACCCTGAGGGGAAGACCTGTCCTCCAGCTGATAATGAATCTAAGAGGACACTGAGTTCTAGAGCAGGGCTCTGAATCATGTCTGGGAGAACCTGCTCCCCAAAGAAAGTCGGGGATATCCTGCACTAGAAACACCTGCTGCCACCTGCTCTGTGCCAGGGGCTGGGCTGGCTCTGGGGTCCAGAGGCAGACCTAGTTCTAGGCCAAGCTCAGACTGGTCAGGGAGACCAGAATGGGACACAGTAAATCCCTAAACTGGCAGTGCCATGTGGGCAGAGACCCTGGCAGTCTTGCTCACAGTAATGTCCCAGCGCCCAGCACAGTGAGGGAGCCATGCTCAGAACAGGCAGCTCAGCATTTGTCAGTTGATTATCAGGTGGCCACTACAGGAGGGGTGGCAGCAGTAGAGCTGTGGGAGAATAGAGCACAGAGAGGTGGCTTCTGGCCAGTGCCTTGGGGAATCAGAGAAGGCCTCCTGGAGAAAAAGCAATTGTACTTGAGAGTCGCCTCAAGAAGGTGGGAGCAGGGAATTCTAGCCAGAGGGCACAGCATCAGCAAAGGCATAGAGGCTGGGGAGCTGGGAGAGTTCAGGGGTCAGAGGTGGCAGGGATGGGGCAGGAAAGGGGGATATTGCCAAGCTATTTCACAAGCACTTACTGTGCCCAGCCCTGAGCAGGGCCCCAGGGGCAAGACAGTGAATAGGATGGAGCCCCACCCTTGCTGGGCTTACAAGGAGGGGGACTGGACAGATCACAAACATCCTCTTTTTTACTGGTAGTAAGGGGGAGAGGTACCATAAGGGGCTGTGGAAGGTCCAGGACGAGGAGTTTGGACTTTGATTCGGGGCCCTGGGGTTGTGGAAGGCTCTGACAGAGCAGCAGACTCAGAGCAGAGCTTAGAGGGTGGTGGGATTGGACTCTGGAACCAGGAAAGACTGAGGTTCAGATGTCAGCGCTGCCACATGCCACCCGTAAATTCATCGTCCGGGTTCCTGGTGTTACTGTGCAGCATTTGTGAGCCACCGCGTGTAAGGCTGCCCTGACACAGGTGCTGGGAAGGGGGAGTGTCACCAGTGGTTGGGCTCAGGAGCTTCAGGCCAATGGGGTAGCAACCTGGGCCAGGGTCTTAGACCCGCCCCTGCCCCCACGCACACGCGCACACACACACGCACGCCCAGCACTCACGGCCCCCTCTGTCTCTCCCCACAGCGGTGGCATAGTGCTCCTGAAGGTGAAGTCCAAGGTCCGCCAGCACCTGCGGGAGCGGCGCACAGTGCCCATCTTGTTCGCCTCCACAGTCCAACGTCACCCTGACAAGACGGCCCTGATCTTTGAGGGCACGGACACCCACTGGACCTTCCGCCAGCTAGATGACTACTCAAGCCGTGTGGCCAACTTCCTGCAGGCCCGGGGCCTGGCCTCGGGTGATGTGGTTGCCCTCTTCATGGAGAACCGCAATGAGTTTGTGGGCCTGTGGCTGGGCATGGCCAAGCTGGGCGTAGAGGCGGCGCTCATCAACACCAACCTCCGGCTGGACGCCCTGCGCCACTGCCTGACCTCCTCTCAGGCCCGGGCTCTCATCTTTGGCAGCGAGATGGCCCCAGGTGAGTCCCAGAGGGGCGGGGACTGGCGAGAGTCCCACAGGACTGCCACACACCCCCTCCAACCCTTGGGGAGAATGTGTGGCTCAGAGGTTAAGGACCTCAGCCCTGGAGTCAGATGGCCTGGGCTCTGCCCCTAGTAAGCTGGAAACCTGAGTAAGAGATGGAAGCTCTGGGCCTCAGTTTCCTCACTATAAGCACCTACCTCACACTAGTTTCAGGAAGATAACGGAAGTCTTAACAAAGTGGCTGATGCTAGGTGAGCCCTCAGATGTAATGGTAACCATTCTTGTGACTAATTAGGCCTCATTTACCTCATCTACAAAATGAGAACAAGAATCTGATCCCCTTTCTCCTGCAGAGCCCATGTTTTATTGCCACCTCGGGTACTGATCAAGTGTCGAGCTTGGTGCTTTACAAAAGCAGCTCCAAAACTCTTCATAAAGCCTGCTGAGGTAGATTGTCATCTCAGCTTCACAGATGAGGAGACTGAGGTTCAGAGTGGTGTGAGACACTCACCCCACATCACACAGCTGATAAGTGAAAGAACTGAGATTTGATCTTGGGCTTTGCCACAGTGTCCCTATTCTTTCTCCCCACGCTGCTGTGGCTACAGGATAATGGACAGGAGAGGTTATTAGGATGCTGAAAGGGGAGGAGGCAGAACGCAGTAGGGAGAAGGGGGAGGGTTGGACAAATCAAGAGGACGCCAGAGGAAGTGGGGCCGAGTGGGCCAGGACTGGCCTGTGCCCAAGGCGGGTGAGTATCTGGATGTCTGTAGTGCACAGGGGAGCCCAACAGAATGTTCTCACTCTCTGAAGACACTGGGGGGCTGCTGGCCTCTGACCCCACTGCTTCCTTCTGAACAGCCCCCCAGGATGAGTGTAGTACAGTGAGTAAGAGTATAAACCTTGGTGTGTGATAGAGCTGGTTTTGAGTCCCAGCTCCAGCACATTCTAGTTGTAAGCGAGTCCCTTCTATTCTCAGAGTCTCAGTTTTCTCACCTGTAAAATGGGTTGTTATTGGCACCTAATTTTTGTAGACAGGAGAATACATTTAAAGGTCCTGCAGTATAGTTAGCTGTTGCTCCTATCAGCACCTTCCTTATACTGAGGTCCCAGGTGCTTCATCCATCTCTCTGCCCCACCCAGCCCGTCTTTCCTCAAAACATGCTCAGCCCTGACGTGAGCAGAGGTTCCTGGGAACATGGCGTTTCCTGATCTTCCCTGTCTTCCCCACAGCTGTCTGGGAGATCCACACCAGCCTGGACCCCTTGCTCAGTCTCTTCTGCTCCGGTCCCTGGGAACCCAGCGCGGTGCCCGCTGGCACAGAACACCTGGACCCCCTGCTGGAAGAGGCCCCCAGGCACCTACCCAGCCGCCCCAACAAGGGCTTCTTAGGTGGGCCCCTCCCCTCACAGAGGGATTCTAAGATGGCCAAGGACAGAGCACTGGCCTCTGGGCCTGGGGTCTGCTGTAAATATGCCATGCAGCCTGGAGAGAGTCACACCACCTCCCTTCTCCATCTGGGAAAATGAAGACAGTAACCCTGGGGTTACTATGAAGGCTGCATGAGCTAATGTGTGAAAGTGCCGGGCACAAAAAACGCAGTTCTTGAACAGCCTTCGTTGCCTAACGAACATGTGCAGGATCACGAGGAGCCCAGGAGCCTGCTTTGTCTGAGTTTGGCCTGGGGGTGGGCCGGGGGCAAGACCCTTTGTATGTTCATCCAGCACCTGTTTAGTGCAGACCCCGATGGGCTGCACTGGGCTACCTGCCTCTCCCTCCCCTCCTCCAGGCAGCCTCCCGGGTCCTCTCACATCTCTTCCTCTACCCTCTAGCCTGCCTTGTGGAGCCCATAGCTTGCTGCCTTGCCTGGAGGCTCAGAGTGTGGGCTAAGTTCATATCCCAGCTCTACTTCTTCCCTTGCGTGACCCTGAACACCTGAGCTGCCCTCTGAGCCTCGGTTCCCACTGCCATAAAACTAGGGATGGTAGCAGAACCTGTGTTATGGAGCAGCTTTGAGGATTGGAAGAGATACAGTGGGAAGCTAGGGTATGACTTGAAGTGCTCAGTAACTGGCCATTGTTGTCATCATTTAACCTCTGCTGTATGTGGATCTTGTCTGCTGGGTGCTGTTGTAACCTCCTTGAGGGCAGGGACTCAGGCTGGTTGTGCCAGGTGTCCTGATGTCCTGGAACCTCCAGCCTTTTGGAGCTCAGCCTCATACAATAACTGTAATGTGACAGCCCCTGGTCTGGGCTGTAGGGAGGGATAAAGAAATGGTCAGTGGTACAGAAGCTACCTCTGCACCCTGCTTCCTGCAGCTAATGCCTCCTCATGCTCCAAGACTCAGGGTAGGCACCACCTCCTTTGAGAAGCCCTCCCTGGTGTTACCTCCCCTCCCTGGAGCCTGGGTCAGGTGCTGCCACTGGGCTTTGACAGGGCCTGTACTTCCCAGCACTTTGTCCTCATATTCCTGTTCCATTTGGCTGTGACCACTACCCGCACAGGGCCTGTTCCCATCCTAGTAACTGATGTCTCCCCAGGCTTGGTACAGAGCAAGGGCCCAGAAAAAGTTTGTTGAAGGAACAGGTGCAGGCATTAAAGCAGAGTGGTGTCTGGGGTCATCAGAGTAGGCTTCCTGGAGGAGGTGTGATGGGAGTGGGTATTGAACGATGCACACATACACATGTTCATCTGTCTTGACTCCGGGCCCAGCCATGTGCTGCCCCCTCTCACAGCCAATCCTGTGTTTGTTTTCTTCAGATAAGCTCTTCTACATCTACACGTCAGGTACCACAGGGCTGCCCAAAGCCGCCATCGTGGTGCACAGCAGGTAAGGGAAAGGTGCTCTGAGGGGAGGCCTGGGGATGGTGGGGCCTGGGAGCCTCTCCTCCTGCCTTTCCAGGGGCCTACTGAGCCCTTCGCCCTCTCCCCTTCCAGGTATTACCGCATGGTTGCCCTGGTGTACTACGGATTCCGCATGCGGCCCGACGACATTGTTTATGACTGCCTCCCTCTCTACCACTCTGCAGGTATCCCAGGCCTGCCCCCTCAGCCTCCAGCACCCCCAAGGTCTCAGGAACCCCGCCCTTCTTGACAGGCAGAGTGTTGCAGGAGAATCATGTGACCTCTGGAGTCAAATATGGATTCAAATCCAGATGTGGCCATTGACTTGACCTCTGAATGAGGGTGTCCACACCAGCATCACTGGTGTGTGTGGCTGTGTCCCATAAGCCACCTGGGCTGGCCTGACTGTTCAGTTCATTTACACAGGTGGGCGTGGCCTTGCCGCTTTCTCTTATAAAGAAGGACAGAGATGCAATAAATATAGCTCCTGCCCTCAAGTTGCTTAGAGTTCGGGTGTATGTGTATTTGGAGCAGGATGAGTGATGGAAACCTACCTGACTCCAGTACAAGAAAAGGCATCAACTGTGGGGAGGAGCAGGGAGCAGGAGCTCAGCTCAAGGGAAGAGCCCAGTTACAACTAGGAAGGTTTCCTGGAGAAGGTGTACCCAAGGCAGGCAGATGTGAGGTGCCGAGCCAGGCAGGCTAGCTCAGTCCCTGCTGGCTGAGTAGCAGCATTACAGGTATTAGAGCAAGATTTTGGAGGCCAGCTCCAGAGGCCCCAGGGGATGGTCTAAGGAGTGCACACTCAATCCCATAGGCCCTGGGGAGCCGTGGAAGGTGTCTGACCAGGAGCAAGAGATATGATCAGGTAGTGTTGGAGGGACAGGACAGGAAAGAGAGACTGGGGAAAGGGCCTTTGAGGAGGTTGGGCTGTGTAAAAGGAAGCTCTAGAGGGAAGGTCTCCTGTCTCCCTGACCTCTGGGGCCCACCTTTCTGCTTCAGGAAACATCGTGGGAATCGGGCAGTGCCTGCTCCGCGGCATGACAGTGGTGATCCGGAAGAAGTTCTCAGCTTCCCGGTTCTGGGACGATTGTATCAAGTACAACTGCACAGTGAGTGGGAAGGGAAGGGGGATGAGCCATCCCTGTCCCCTCATGACCTCTCCCCCAGGTCTTACAGCTGGAGACAGCCAACCATTTATACAGGGCAACACTCCTATTGTTCAGATGGGGAGACCGAGGCGCAGAGAGGGACAGGTTTGCGCAGCCAGCCCCTGGGTGGAACACAAGCCTAGTAGGGGTAGGCCCTTGGGGGATGGGCAGGCAGTGAAGTGACAGCAGCCTCAGGGGCCCAGACTCACTCCAAGTCCATCCGCAGATTGTGCAGTACATCGGCGAACTGTGCCGCTACCTCCTGAACCAGCCACCCCGGGAGGCAGAAAACCGGCACCGGGTGCGCATGGCACTTGGCAACGGCCTCCGACAGTCCATCTGGACCGACTTTTCTAGCCGCTTCCACATCCCCCAGGTGGCCGAGTTCTATGGGGCCACTGAGTGCAACTGCAGCCTGGGCAACTTCGATGGCCAGGTGCCACCCAGTTGGGGACGCAGGTGGACCCTGGAGGCACTGGGGGCAGAGGGGAGGGCAGAGTTCCAGCATGGGAATGTGGGTGCCAGAGCCACTACACACACACACACACACACACACACACACACACACACGTCTAGTTTCGGGCCTATGGTGGGAGACCCCGGCTCAAGTCTTGGCCTTTGCAGGTGGGGGCCTGTGGCTTCAACAGCCGCATCCTGTCCTCTGTGTACCCCATCCGGCTGGTACGTGTCAACGAGAACACCATGGAGCTGATCCGGGGACCTGATGGCGTTTGCCTCCCCTGCAAGCCAGGTCTGCCCCAGGGGTGGGATTGGGGGTCAGAGTGGGTGGGGCTGGCTCGGGAGGGACATGGGACGGGGTGGGTGGGTGGGGAACCCCATCCTGTTCAGTGGCCATCAGTCAGCTCTTCTCTTAGGGCTGCAGACATTTACTTTTTCATCCGTCCATATATTTCTTCATCAGTCTATTTGTGCACTTCCGTGTTGTAGACTCTGGGTCCGGGCTGCCTGATCCTGGCTCAGCCCCCCGAGAGCTGTGCCTGAGTTCCCGTATCTGCACATGGGGCTGATGGCAACACTTCCACATCGGCTGCCCCGAGGGCTCCAGTGGTGAAAGACATAATGCTGTTTGAGCAGAGCCAGGGCCCAGGCAATGCTGGCTCTAGTTAGACTTGTCCACACAGAGCTTGGCCACCCTTTCATTTGTTTGTTCGACTTTCCATCTGTTCAGTGACCACACGGGACCAAGTTCCTCTGTGTGCTAGACCTGCCAGGAGAACTCCCTGCCCTTGGGGCTCCCAGGCTGGGGAAGAAATGGGCACTTCTCTGGGCAGCAGCAGGGGCATTTAGGGTGCAAAAGAGACCCCAAGGTGAATGTGACCCTGGCTTTGCTGTCCCCAGGTGAGCCAGGCCAGCTAGTGGGCGCCATCATCCATAAGGACCCCCTGCGGCACTTCGATGGCTACCTCAACCAGGGCGCCAACAATAAGAAGATTGCCAACGATGTCTTCAGGAAGGGGGACCAGGCCTACCTCACCGGTGGGTGGGCACCTCTCCCCAGGCCTTTGCTGCCCCTCAGTGAGAGTGGAGAGGAATGAAGGGGCCTTTCCTCCTTTTCAGAGAACACCTCCCAGAATTCCCCCAGGCCTGGCCCGAGCCCGCGGGCCCTGCCTCACACCACTCCTTTCTAGGCGATGTGCTGGTGATGGACGAGCTGGGCTACCTGTACTTTCGGGACCGCACGGGGGACACGTTCCGCTGGAAAGGGGAGAACGTGTCCACCACCGAGGTGGAGGGCACGCTCAGCCGTCTGCTGGACATGGCTGACGTGGCAGTGTATGGCGTCGAGGTGCCAGGTACCTGGGGAGGCAGGAGGTGCCAGGCCTGTGTGCGGAGGCACCACAGGGCCCACTGCCAGCTCTTACTGTCTGCTCTGCTGTCCAGGAACTGAGGGCCGGGCTGGAATGGCTGCTGTGGCCAAGCCCTTTGGCAGCTGTGACCTGGAGCACTTTGCCCGACTCTTGGACAAGGAGCTGCCCCTGTATGCCCGCCCCATCTTCCTGCGCTTCCTGCCTGAGCTACACAAAACAGGTTTGTCCCCCTGGGACACAGGGTCCTGCTGGAGAGACCAGGGTGGCTATCATTTGACCTTCACCCACCACCTTGCCAGGTGGTTGGTAACCTGACCTGCCTGCATTCAAGTGAGCGCACCAGGCCTTCAGAGAGATGGGATACGTCCTTCATTAGTCTGCACCAGGCACTGTGCTAGGCTTTGGAGACGTAGGTGACAAATTCTGGCAGGACTTGTGCCTTCCTGGAGCTCTGGAGCAGTAGGGGACGCAGCCACAGGGACAATGAATCCCAAAGATAAAGAACAGAATGCAGATTAAACTGATAGAAAAGTGAATGAGGGGCATGGGGATGACTGGGAGGCTCCCCTGAGGAGGTGATGGTTCATCTGAGGCCTGAATGAGAGAGAGGACTTTCTTGGGGTGGGAGGCATTCTAGGCTGTAGGAACAGCGAGTGTGGAGTCCCTGAGGCAGGAAGGTACTAGAGGAATGAAAGGAGACCCCCGAAGCTGGAGCCAATAGAGGGTGGGCAGCAGCGTGAGGTGGGATGGAGAGGGCTGCAGGGGCCTTGTGGGCTGGGGAGGGGCTTGGACTGTGCCCGGGGCAGTAGGGAGCCACAGCAGTGTTTGAGCAGGGCAGTGACCTTATCAGATTTGTTTCCTACAAAGCCCTCTGGCAGCTGTGTGCAGAGTATGTGTAGAGGCTGCAGGTGGCCCTAGGGGAGGGGAGATGAGAAAAGGGCTGTCATCCAGGGAGGGGTGAGTGGTGGGTCCACCGTCACATGGTGGGATGGTGCCATCCGTCTGTCCGTTGTCCACTGCTGGTTCTCAGGAGTTCCCTGATGGGCAGGAAGCGCTGAGGCTCATGCCCAAACCTCCCCTCTGCTCTCCTCAGTCCTTGCTGCCCATCGTAGCTCCCTACACTGCTCAGCTTCTCCTTGGCTGCTCAGCCTGGGGCCACGTCTGCCTGGCTACCTCCCAGGGAGTCATTGTGTCTGTCCCTCTCTTGATGGAAGGCCTTCACTGATTGACATGGCCCCTGCCAGATAGTGGGCCCCTGGGCACACCTGAAGCAGTGGGGAGGGTCAGATGGGGACACTGGTGCTGTGCTCCTGACCAAGACTGTAAGCTCCCTGAGGACTAGAGGGTCGCTGTGACTTCTGCGTCCAGGAGGGAGGAAGTGTTCTGTCCCTGTACTGTTGGCCCCAAGTAGCTGTTGAGCACTTGAAGTGGGACCAGTGTGGCTGAGAAACCAAATTTTAAATTTTGTTTAATTTTAATTAAATTTACATAGCCACTCAGGGCTAGTGACTACCCTATTGGACAGTGCGGGTATAGATGGCCTTTTCCAGGATGGCTAGACTGCTTTCAGGGCACCCCCAAGAGGGTGGGGGTGGAGCTGCAAGGCTCCTTGAGGCCTGGACTCACTCAGAACTCCCACAACATCACTTCTGCCACATCCTGTGGGTCAAAGAAGTCATACGGCCAGTCTGGATTCAAGGAGAGGTTGAGAAAGACTCCAGCTCTTAACTGGGAGAAGTGGCCAAGCCACATGGCAGAGGAGTGTGTGTACAGGGAGGGGAGGAATCTGTAGCCATTTCTGGCATCTGTCACACCTGGGTTCAGATCCCAGCACACTGCTTACAAGCTGTGTGATGCTGGCCTAGAGATGTGCCTCTCTGAGCATCAGTCTTCTCATATGTATACAGAGGCTAACCCTACATTGATTGAAAGATGCATAATTTACATTATATACTATTAAGGAGAAAAGAAACACTGCTGATTGAGCTCTTTCAGAGATGTTAAAATCCAAAAACTTGTGCATCTTAGAATCTATAGAATATGGTTGAGCACCTACCCCTGGGGGTGGTGTGCAGATTAAATGACATCACACCTTTACCTGGGAGGTGCACCAATAAAGGGAGCCATCACGGAAGACCCCTGTTCTGGCCCTCATTCAGCTGTCACTCAGCACGTGGCCCTGGGCTAATAGCTTCCCTTCTTCAGGCCTGAGTTTCCCTGTCTGCACAAAGGGGCAGATAACACCCCCCAACCCTGGCACCTTTGCTAGGGCTGCTCTGTTACATAATGTAATGGATGGCGCCTTTGCAAACTGTAAAGGGCAGTTCCCCTCCTCCCACACTTCCCCTTTTCCTGTGTTCTCTCCAGCCCTCTCTCTCAGCCCCGCCTCAACCCTGGGGGGTGGGTTCCTGGGAGCTCAGGCTTTTGCTGTGCACTCTCTGACCCTCCTTCCCCCTTGTCTTCCCACTCCCTCAGGGACCTTTAAGTTACAGAAGATGGAGCTGCGGAAGGAGGGCTTTGACCTGAAGGTTGTGAAAGACCCGCTGTTCTACCTGGATGCCCGGAAGGGCCGCTACGTCCCACTGGACCAAGAGGCCTACACCCGCATCCAGGCAGGCGAGGAGAAGCTGTGATTGGCCCCAGGTCCCTCTGAGGGCCAGTGGATGCTGGATCCAGAGCCCCAGCTCCCACCCCAGAGGGGTCCTGGGCGAAGCCAGACCAAAGCAAGCAGGGCCCAGCACCTTGACCCAGAAGCGCTGACCCCTTCTCCTCAAAACTGCCAAGGGACTCACTGCCGCCTCCCCCGCCCCCAAGGCTTTCTGTGAAAGCCTCACATCCATGTTATGTCTTCGAGGCCACGCAGGGCCTCTGGACCCCAGGCTGAGACTGAGACCCTCAGGATGATGTCTTGGGTCAGGGCAGGGGGAGGTGGGAGATCACCAAGCACTCCCCAAAGAGCAGGCAGCTTGTAAATGGGACCAAGGCAGAAGCTCCCAGACTCAGGAAGCCAGCCAAGTGGGCAAGGGCAGTGGTGGCTTTGGATCAGGTATCCAGAGAGGATCTAGACCCTGGCGCTGCTCAGATGTCACCCAGCCCAGGCGGCGCCTGCAGGAGGGCAGGAGGAGGACTGGACGCAGCAGTTGGCCTGGACAGAGCATGCCCTCCTCCTCTCCCTGGGTGGCTACCTGGCTCTCCCTCTGGCAGGACTTTTCTGTCTCTGTGGGTCTGTCTGTCCGTGTCACCATCTCCATCTCTGTACTGGCCTAGCTGTGAGACAAGAAGGGGTGGGAGGCGCTCAGGGGCCAATAAACTCTGCCTTGACTCCTCCAGCCTGTGTGCATGCTACCTGAGCTCACCTCTAGCCTGATCAGGCCCCAGCTCCTGCCCCAGGCACTCACTTGCCCATTTATTCATTCATTGGGACTGAGGGATGTGGCAGGTAAGAGGCCACAGCCCCTGTCCGCAGTGTTATCTCAGACTGAGGGCAGTTCCCACCTGAGCCTGGCAAGGTGTTTTAACAGCATGAGCTTGAAAGTCCAAACCAACTGTGTCACTTAGGAGCTTGTGGCCTTGGGCAAGTGGCTCAGTGTCCTCATCTATGACATGGGAATAATCAGGATTCAGAGAGCTAAAGGTAGCCATTATGAGAAAAGGGCTGTTCAGAGTCTTTGAGGGAGGAAACCCTAGCCCATGGTGGGGTCCCATCTCCAGACCCTTGCTCATGCGGTTCCCTCTGCTGGGGTCCATTTTCCCAGGGTCTTGGAGGCCGTGGGAGGCAAAGTAGGGCTTCCTAACCAGCTGGGTGGTCTAGGAAAGTTCCTGGAGCAGTCTTTCCAGTGCTGTAGTCAGCAGTGCCAGTGGAAGGCCACCTGTCTCTAGAGCCCATTGCTGGAGTCACACCCAGGCTGGAAAGGTCCCACCCAGTGGGAAGAGGGTGGTCCAACCCAACACAGGGCAGTAGGCAGTGTGTGTGCCCCAGGGCATTATCTGCACTATTTAACCCTCACCACTTGGCTGTTTAACCTCTGTCACTTGGCTGAGGTCACACAGCGAGTAGTGGGGACTGGAATGCAAACCCTAGCTCTGTGCTCTTCCTGCTGCTCCACCGCCCCCTTGGTGCAGAAGCCAACAGGAAAGCTAGAAGAGCTTCCATTCCACACATGCTTGTGGAGCCATCTGTGAGCCACACCCCAGGCCAGCAGCTGACAGTTTGGGTGGAGGGTGGCCAGGATAAGAAATTTGGGGGGTGACCTTTGAAAGACTGAGGAGTCTGGTGCCACTTTTGACAGAAGTGAGAGGGACAGACCTGGAGTTGGCCCTTGGAGAGCGGTGCTCAGTGGAGTTTGGGAGTGGCAGGCATGGCTGCGGTGGCCCAGTGTGACCAGCAGAGGGTGCATGGGGCTTGTAGAATCAGGTCCAGTCCTTAGCGCTCAGCCAGGGGAGCTGGGAAGAGGGACTGTAAGTTCCTCCTTCACCCCCAGGCAGGTACCCAGCCCAGAGGACTCCCTGGTGGACCTTTGGGCTTCTGAGGAGCTGGACTTGGCTGACAGTGAAGCTTTGTGTCTTTAACCCTCAGCAATGAACGCTCTCCGATGGGAAGGAGGCCCCCCGCAGAGGCCCCTGTTCCTTCCCCCAGATTGAACACCATCACTGAAAGGCAGTATGGAGTGGTCGTTAAAAGCTCCAGCTTGGGAGTCAATCAGACCTGGGTTCAAGTCTATTTGCCAGGCTGAGCCTCAGTTTCCTCTCCTGTAAATGGAGATCTAGGAATCTCTATCTTGGGACAGTTACGAACATACAATGAGATCGTGCTTGGAAATCTCTTAGCAAGGGGTCTGGTGCTGGTATGTGCTCAGTACGTGGTAGCTAAAAGAATACGAGATATATTCAGGTATTAATACCCCAGACTAGGCCTAAGTTTCCCACTTCTGCACTGCACCCCGCTCTGCTCACATCCCCTCCGTGAAGGAACGGGACTGGTGGGCCTCTGGGCCTTGCAGCTCTCCTGTCTGCCTCTGGTCATCTGAAGCCACAGCTGTGAGTCGTCTCCCATGCCTGCAGCAAGTGCTCGGTAGACAGTGCTTGTGAAGTCAGTTAATGATAGCTCCTGTTTATTGGGCATTTCCTTACATGTCTGTAGTGCCCCATGGTTTACAAAGCGCTGTGTAAGTTCGTCTATGGAGCAGATTCTAAAGGCCCACGCTGTGCAGGGAGCTGGTGGCGGGGATATGGTGAGCATGAGAGACCCGGACCCTAGGTCTACCCTCAGGGAGCCCACTATCTGGGGGCAGGGGAGAGGGGGCTGGCAAGTCAGGAATTAAAGGGTATTTGCTTAGCTGCACCCTAACCCAGTGCCCTGACGGGTGGAGGGGTCATGTTTCATGGTCACAGGGGCCTTTCAAAGAAGAGTTATCAAAAAATAGGAGGGGTAAGAATGTTCCAGACAGAAGGAGCAGTGAAACAGGCATGGAGGTGAAGGGTGAGCAGGGCTGATGAAAGAAGGGTCGTGAGGCTGGAGGGGTGGGGCTAGGGGAGAGCTGAGGCAAGGTGTGCAAAGTGAATCCTTTGTGGGCCTTTCTCCTTGCACACCTCCAGGTCTGGGAGCTCAGCTAGGAAATCCTTATTTCAGGCCAAACCCGCTTCCTTCGACTTGCTAACAGCCACCACCATGGAGCATTTCCTACGTGCGCGATGCAGTGCCAAGCACTTTATGCGCATTATTTCATTAAACCCATAACACAAAGCAGCTACTATTTTTAACCCCATTCCACAGATGAGGAACCTGAGGCTCAGAGGGGCAGTCTCTGCAGAGACCACAGGGCCTAGGAATAGCAGCGCTTGGATGCAGGCCCCCACCCCGGAGCCTCAGTGTTCCCATCTGCACGCTGCACTGGGGAAGCTGGAAGGGGCCTGCCTTGAGCGTCCCCGGAGGTCCTACCGCCCTCAGACAGGCAAGTGGCCGCCCAGGCCAGTGCTTGGCGTATCACTTTCAATTCCTGGGAAGAAGGTTAAATACGTCCAAGGGGCCAATTGAGGCGCTGGCAGCAAGGGAAGGAGCAACCAAGTGACTTTCAAAGGGGCCTGAATGCGTGGCCAGCCCCTCCCTTGGAGGAGGGGGCCCAGCTTCCTCCCAGCCTAATGATATTCTGGGCTCAGCCCTCGTCTTTGGCGGCAGTTTAACCCGAGCTGGGGCGGATTTCTTTCTCACTGATCTCAGCTTGACACTCAATTAGCACAAGAATGGGAGGAGGAAGCCTGCGAGAGGCACCTCCCAGTCTCCCGGGGAGCACAAGGGGAGCAGGCGGGGAGACAAAAGGCAGTGGGCAGGGGGGCACCCGCGCCCTTGCCTCCCCCGCAGACGCTGCCATTGTCTCCCTAGGAGCTTCAGAGGGGATGGAGGCCAACGCCCGGCCTGGCCAGCCTGCTAGAGGGACAGGGGTTGGGGCCCAAGTCCCTCTTCTGTGTGGATCCCAGGGGAAGACGTTTGGGTGAGCCAAGCCTATCAGGACACAGTGAGCGTCAAGAATCCTGAAGGCATAACAACCTGGGGTTGGGGCTGGACACATAGGGGTCCATGGACAAGTTACCGGTTCTGAGCCTCAGTTTTCATATTTGGAAAATGGAGCCAATAGTAGCCCCTGTGAGAAATCAATCAGATAATGCCTATAAAGCACCTGGCAGATGCAAAGTGGGCATTCAGTGCTCTTTGAATAAATACATGTTAAACTATTACTGTTACTAATTAGGAGGATGAGTAAGGTAGGCCTGGGGTCAGAAGAAAAGAGTTTCTAAGACTGAGAGCCAGGCATTCACAGAAGGGGCTTACTTACTCAGGAGTGAGCTCCCAGTCTCTGGGCTATGCAAGGAAAAGTTGGAGGCCCCCCTGCCTGTTGAAATGTGGGAAGGATTCCCACTCCTCTGGACGGGAAGGAGTGCCTCTGGCCTTCCTACACGCCATATCCTGCCCACCTCCACCTCCCGCAGTTCCTTGGGACATGGGCTTGGATGTGACTTCCTCTGGGAAGCCTTGCCTGATCCCGGGGCTGGAAGGGGTCCTCCTCCAGCTCTTTCGGGCCCCTGTGTTTCCCCGTCATAACATTGATTGCACTGTGTGGTCTGTTTTTATGTCTGTGTCTTTTCCAGAAACATCAGCCCCAGGAAGGCAGGGACCCCTTGGTTTTGTTCACCGTTGAGTTCCCAGCACCAGCACTGGACCTGGCACTTAACCGGTGCTCAATGTTTGTTTGTCAAATGGATGGACCTTTTCAAAAGCTCTCTACCTCTCCTGTTCCAGCCCCAGGAGGCAGCAATTCCCAGGGTTAGAGGATATTCAGCTCAGAGGTGGGCGAGGATGAGAGGTCCTTACCTTGTTGGCAAAGAGAAGCCATTAAATGACTTTCAGCAAAGGACTGATACGTATTCACTCATTCATTCATTAACTAACTCATTCAGCAAGCACTTACCAAACCCCTACAATGTGTTAAGCTCCTTACTATGAGCTAAGGATCTAAGATGAGTCAGGCAAGGTTTCTAGAGCTCAACTCTGGAAGAACCAGTGAAAATATCTTTTTGCTGAAAGGACCTTAGGAGAGCATTTGGCCCCAAAGCCTTATTTACAGATTAGGGAAACTGAGTTCCACATAGCATGGTGAATGTGGGGCCTTTCCATTTGCCATAGGATTCTTTTGTGCTTTTAGAGGACCAGAGCTGTGTCTCATTTGTCCTTATTTTGCCAATGCCCTGGGACAACGCCTGGTACACTGAAGGGGCTTAGGGCCATCTGTGGAGCTGCTGTACAAAGAAGCCGCAGCCAGACGGAGTGAGGTAGGAGGCAGGCAAGCCAGAGAAGGAGGTGCAGGTGAGAGGTGATAGGGGTGGCAATAGAATTCAGGGCTGCAAAATCAGCTTCGGAAGGAGACAAATACAGATGTGGTGACTGGATGTAGAAGAGAATTAAGAACAACGTCAAGGTTTCTTGCTTGGGTGTTTCAGTGGATGGCAGTGGTGTCCCTGGGATAAGGAACACAGGGGAGCCTGTTTTAGGGAACGAGGCACTGTGCCAAGAACTCATTTAGTTCTCTGCAACTCTACGGGGGCTGTTATTACCTTTATTTTACAGATGAGGAAACTGAGGCACAAATATGTTAAGGGACTTAACCAAAGACACAAAACAGGAAATGGTGGGGCCTGGACATAAAGCTGGTATGTAAACTCCCACCTCTTAGTGATGACTCTGTCATTACATTCACCCTTAACCACCAGGCTATACTTCCACCAACTTTGGAAGTGTGGCTTAGATGCCCTGGGACATTCACTTCACTCCCTTTCTGCCCTGGGCTTTGGCAACAGGCTCCAGTGGTCTCCCTATCTTCTTCCCTGTTCCCCTCCAAATCAATCTCCACACTGCAGCCGGGAAGGATATTTTAAAAATAATGTCTCGCTCACCCCCACAAATTCTTCACACACTCACATGCACACGCGCACACCCCCCCCCCAAATCCTTTAAAGGCCTGTCATTACTCCTAAATTAGAGACTGAAATTCTTACCTGGCTCACAAGGCATGATTCGGCCCCTGCCCACCTTTCTAGCCTCATCTCTTCCCAGGCCCTCTGCTCCCCAATTTCCACCTTCTTCTCTTGGTGCTCCAGCGTGTTCTCCCACCCAGAGCCTTTGCACCTTCTGTTCTCACTGAAATGCTCCCAGAGGTTTTTCTGTCCTCACATCCACTTAGTTAACTCAACCCAGGCTTTAGAGTTCAGCTCAAGTCCAGTCCAATCCTTTTTTTTTCCTTTAAATCCTTATAACTTCATATCATTTCTTTCAGTTTGAGATTTTACATTTATTAGCAGGACTGGTATGTTTATTTGATTAATTTCCCCCACTAGACTGTGAGTGCCCTAAAGGCAGGAACGTTGCCTAGTCCGTTCACCACCGCATTCATTAGCACCAACCTAAATGCCTGGCACACGGAGAAGGTGCAATAAATATCCGCTGAATAAGTGAAATCCAAGTCAACAGTGAAAGGGGCAGTTGGATTGCGAGTCGATGGCTCAGGAGAGAAGTTTCTGGGCTGGAAATAAAGATTTGGGGGTCACCTCTAATTCAAGTCAAGAGGCGTGGACAGGCTCGCCCAAGCGGTGTGCAGACTGAAGAGAATTTATAACTAATGCAAGAGAAACAGTAATGTGGCTCACAGTCATGGCGGAAAGATGCCGGGGCTCCCCTCCGCCTAGCTGTGGCTCGTGCAAGTCGCTGCCCACCCTGGCTGACTCCCGTCCCTAAACGGCACAGGAGGACCGACTCGAAATCCCCCAACAGCGCCCGCGACCCTCCAGCCTCTGCTCGCGGCTCCGAGCCTTCCTCCAATAGCTGAAGAGGAGTCTTCCGGGCACCGCCTCTTCCGTCAGCGGCGACCGGAAATTGGGAGGCGGAGCCGGAAGTCGATGGGAGTTTCCTGTGAGCTTGGCTTCCTCAACATGGCAGCGCCCTTGTCAGTGGAGGTGGAGTTCGGGTGAGTCACAGAGCTGGGGCGCCATGGGGATGGATTGAAGTCGTCGGGCCCGGAACTCCCCTCCCTCTGCCTTGGGGCCTGTCACGACCGAATCCCCGAGGCTCCCGGCTACTTCCCTGAGCTACGCCACCCGCCTCGGAGAATCTGAGAGGCTAGGTCTCCCTGGGCGACGAGGCCGTATGTCCGGGAATAGAGGCGCACATCCCGGCGTGGAGGTGCGCTCTGGGCACTCCTCAGTGCCCTGAGCCCTGCCGGACTCAAAAGCCTTGATGGTTAGCGGGAGGCCTCCCTACCCTCTTTGCCAATCCTATTTCGGACCAGACCCGTGTGTCTGGCATCTGAGCTGCTAGGACTTAGAAGAACCACCCTTCACCCTCTGATTTCTGACTTCGGGCAGCAATTTCCGTTTACATGGCTCTTGGAGTCCTGTTTCTCGTGGGAATGTGTAGCTAAGACGGGACTCCTTTCCTCTCTTTTTCAAGATTTGGTGGTGTTAAAACAGAACTGAACCCCTTTCAGTGCATTCAGCATACTTGCTGAGTGCCTTCGGCAGCTCTTGGGTCAGGTGGAGATATGAGGCTAAGATAGCACAATTGAGGAGACTAACTCTGACAGTACAGTATGCACTGGATGAAAAGTGCAGGATTGGGGCACCAATAACTGAAGAAACACAGACCAGGGAGGAAGTCGATTCAAGCCGCTATCTTCTACCTTCTACAAACAGAAGGTTTGTTACATGATTTCCAAGCTGAGAGAAACTACAGAGCTTAGAGAGAAGGCAAAGAAACTGAGACCGTAAGAGATGGATGGTATAATTTCTAGAGTCACATGGGAAAAGCTGGGACTAGAATTGTGTGCATGTGAAGATAAACCACGGCTTATGTGAAAGGAAAAGTCTGGGATGGGAATCTGAAATATCTGCCTATAAATGCCTTTCCTTCCATTGGATGCCCCCAGTTTCTTTCATGTTTTCCCTTCACTGCGTAGTCCATTCACCAGTCATTTATTGAGTGCCTACCATGTGCCAGGCAGTGAGCCAGGCACAGAGGATACAAAGATAAATAGAACTTTGTCCATGCCTTCCAGTATTCAGCATTTCTGTCTCTTACAAGGGGGTAGTCTCATGACTGTTAACTGCATTTTAATTGATGATATTGTCTGGCCCTGTGGGTCCAATTAGAACTATGCTAGTCTAGCCTTCTGACTATTTTACTTCACTGACTCTTGGCCCAGCTATGCTCCCCCATACCCTGGGGATTCTAGAAGGATATCTGCTACTTTGACAGGCCTCAGCAGAACTGAAAAGGGAGATACTGCAGATTGCCAGTGTTAAAGTTTACCTATAGCCTGCTTACCTTTCATTCTCACTGAGTCAGACATGGTTTTTGTTCATCAGAAATGTCTTCTGTCTGCCAGGTACTGTGCTGGCAGCAGTGGGGAGGTCATAGGAAGACGTAGTCCTTGCCCTCCGGAGCTTACTGACTAGCTTTTCTGGCTTGACCATCTCAGCCTTCCTAACCACCAAGAGCAAAAGTGAACCCTGACAAGGCAAGCCAGTGTTCCCTCCACCCACTACCGCCATGTCCCATGAGAATTTCAGCTTCTCGGGAAGCAAGAATGCCCAATATGTATGCCAAGCTCAGATTCCTTTTCTCTTTGTCTCTGTCTCAATGCATGTTTTTGCCCCTGGCCTTTCTTCCATTTCCTACATCTCTTAGCACACTTTCTTCACCTTTTATTCTGAACCTAAGTAGATTTACATTTACAAAGATGCCTTGCGCATCATTCTCTCCCTTTTGTCCCCAAGTGCCACCATCATCCTTGAAGAGTCTAGTTTAGGACTTTGCCTCTTTCCCCTGAGTAGATGTGGTCCTTTCAGTCCCACCAGCTCTCATAGACTCTCTAGAAGACCTCTCCCCGCTTTCTCTGTCTTGTCAGTGACCAGTTTGCCCATCCTTGTCTTGCCTCCTGAACTGTCCTTAGCAGAGCATTTTCTCAGGTCACACAGGATTCAGAGTGGGTAGTACATATGTGTTTTATGTCCCTGTAGTCCAGATGTGAGATTCCCTCTTCCTTTTCCCTTTTCCTCCTTCTTGAGTCTGAGAGGTATTGGCAAAGTAAGGGAATGCCATTGAGGTCAGAGAAGAAATGGGGGAAATGGGCATTTTCATTCATTCAGCAAATATTTCTTGAGTGCCTACTATGTACCAGGTCCTATTTTAGGCAGACTTGCATTCCAGCAGGTAAAGGGGAAATAAATAAAAATTAAAATATTTAAGATAAAAAGATGAAGATAGTTAGGAAAAGTGGAGGCCCTTGTGGGACTGTTTGTACCAGTCACTGGTACCAACAAACACCTCCCACCAAGAACTGGGGATTGGAGGGAAGATGAAGTAGCTTAAGATGTAATCCCTTCGTGGAGTCTGAATAGCAAATCCTGTAGGACATAAGAGAGTCTGGCTTTGGTTTTCTTCTGGGACCAAATCAGGCCCCTTGCCTGCCTCCCTGAATCACTCCAGAAGCTGGGCATGCACCTTCCTCCCCTCCAGATGTGCTGACAGCAGAAATGCCAACCCCTCCCTCCAGGGCTAGTGAGCCCAGCAGTGGCTGGTCAGTCTCCGAGCCAGACTGGTTCTTCATCCTCATGTGAAGGGAAAAACAGCCTCGGCCTCTGAGCCTGGCACCACCAGGTTTGGCCAATCTGGGTTGTTTGCCTAGATCCCAATGTTTCCAATTCCCACTCCTCTGACCCCCCAACTCCTGTCGCCCCTTGCCTGTTGCCCTCCCCCACCCCAGCTGCTGCATATGCCAGCCCCCACCTAGGAGAGAACGAGGCTCTTGGAAGGGGATAAATGGAGGCTCTGTGCGGGCCTGCAGCTGAAATGGCCCTGCGTGCGGCCACAGATGGGCCTCCTCTCCCCCTCCACGTTTCTGCATCAACAAAGCATGACCTTGTTTGGATGACAGTCGCCCCATGTTTCCCCCGTGACAATGCTTGCCTTGCCTTTGCCTCCCAGTGGACTGTCTCAGGACATCTCTGTTCTCTGAAGTTGGGAAAGGGTGATGGGGTGGGAGGCGTCACATCCGTCGAAAGTCTGTTAAGGCCTTCTCAGTTAAGATCCACGTGAAGTCTGAGGTGGGGGTCAGGGGACCCAGAGGAAGAAGCAGTGTGGGGCACTGAAAGAGCCCGAGTGTCTGCAGCATGAGCCCTGACTTCTGGACTTGGCTCCCAGCATCTCTGTTGTCCCAGCCGTCCGTCGGCCAGGTGCTAGCGCACAAATGAACCAGACTCTGCCCTCAAGGGGCTTTCTGACCCTTGGGGAGTTCTTTTTTTTTTCTTTTTTTTTCTGTGAGAAACCAGTAAGAATTCAACTCCTAGTTCAGCCACTGCCTGTCTGGCCTTGGACAACTTACTTAATCTTTCCTGGCCTCAGTCTGCTTCCCCATTTGATAGAATTGATGATGTCTGCCTCTCTACCCCCTTCTCTGGCATTCCTTGAAGATGAAACAAGATGATGCACATTCTTGTAAATGGCAAGGTTATTGCTAAGCCCAGTGGGGTCTCTTACCTTCCAGCACTGTGGTGTGTCCACCAGGCCAGCAGCAGGGGGCACAGGCAGGGGCATTTCAAAGCCTCACTCAGCCAGAGAAAACCTCTAGATACACAGGGTGTCCAGTGTGCCATGTGGTAGCTTCTCAACATTTTTGCAGATGGAAAGACTGAGGCTTGAGAAGATAAAGGCATGTGCTCAGAGTCTCACCATCAGGCGAGGTGGAACTCCGGAGCCTGTGCTCTGCCGCTGCCCCTGTATGCTAAGCTACCTCTTGAGAAAACAGAGGAGGAAAAATAAGGGTCTGCAAATTGGGATACTTAAATATTAGTAAAAATTGTTTCTGTCCTACATTACCATACAGGAAGCCACATTTGAGAATGATCACTGGTACCCAAGGTGTTCTGAACCTTGGTCTCTGCATCTCTTGGGCGTTGGTGCCAGCCCCCTCCTCAGTTTTCAGTCTCAGCGAGGCGTTTGCAGGAGCTCACCCAGCTCTTTCTCTGGCCCTCCTTTGCAGAGGCGGTGCGGAGCTCCTGTTTGACGGTGTGAAGAAACATCAGGTCACCTTGCCTGGGCAGGAGGAACCCTGTGAGTATGGGCGCCACTGGGCAGGAGCTGCTCCACAGGGTCACCCTGCCCTGTTCAAGTGGGATTGGGTAGGATTCCCTGGCCAGTGGCGGGGGAAGGAGGAGAGAAGAGCTCCAAGTACTCTCCCCCATCCTCTCTGGGACCAGCTAGCTTCATAGGAAGGAGATGGCATTGCTTAGTTCTTACGAACCCAGGTTCTGAACTTGGGCTTGACTTTGAGTCCCCTGAGCACCTTAGGCCAGTGACCTCACCCTTCTGAGCTTTCGTGTTTTTATCTGTGAAGTGGAGGTGGTAGTCCCTATCTCTCAGGGTTGGCAGAAGGTGTATGCCAGCTATACCTATTAGAGACACGAAGCATCTCTATTATTGGTAGCCTTCGTCAAAAATGGGACAGTGTAGATGGGCTTCCATTATGATGAGACGATTTGGATGAGGAGAAAAGTGTCCAGCCAAAAAGGAGGTTGGAGGAGAGAGATTGACTCAGGGTGACCGAGGAGTTTTTCCATTTTTTCATTTGAATACCTGTTCCTCTTTCTTTAACAAATATATACTTAGCACCTCCTGTGTGGCAGCCCATGTCCCAGGCACTGAAGAGACAGACCCTGCCTTCAGATGGGGGGGGTCAGGGGGCGGAGATCCAGTGGGGTAAATATCAGTGTCGCCTAGAGGCAGGGGCTGGATGTTGCAACTGTGGAGGTGCTTTGTAGCCCTAGTAGTGGATCCTAGCGAAAGCAGAGTGTTCAGGAATGGGAGCCCATCTCACCTGGGGCTGAGACGTTTCTGGGAAGAAGAGGAAGTCAGTTGTATGAGGAGGCAGGGGAATGAGGTTCCTGGAGAGGGCCGTAGGAAACGGTCAAGTGAGGTTTGATCCTTCTGGAACTGGACATGCATCTGCCGGGAATCAGACAGCTGTTGCCCAAATTCTATGGCTACCAAGGCTGTCTCTGAGCCTCCCTTGGGTTGGAGAGCAATGGCATAGGGTGGGTTGGTGTGCCACATTCAAAGGCCTGGGACACTCACCAAGGAACAGGGCACTGCCTTCTGGAGCTGGCTGTCGGCAGGAGCCTAGGGTCCCACGTTGGAACCGTGGGATTGTGTCTCTGGTACGGAAAGACCTGGGATGATAATGGTGGTTTCTTGGTTTGACAGATGGCCATGCAGCCTTGGGAGGGAACAAGGGGGTCTCAGAAGCCTCTGAAAGATTCACCTGGAAGTTATTAAAATACCACAAGTTGTGATTTATTTCTCCCTGCTTTTGCTTGACATGAAAGTCCCAGAGTTTAATAATTCCAGTCCTTTTTATTTATTCAGTGGCTGAATGCTCACTGAGTGCCAGGTGTGGAAGTAAGTACTTTATTCCTTCCTGTAGTTGGCACATGTATTTATGAGTGCCTCCTTTGTGCCTGGCACTGTACTAGTCACTGAGTACTTGTGGTGAGCAAAACAGATATGGTTCTTGCCCTAATGGAGCTTACAGCATGACGGAAGTGGAGCCGAACAGTGAACAGGTAAACACGTAAACATGTAACCGTACACGTGGTCATCACAGGTGGGAGGAGGACAAAAGGGTGCTTTGAATGAGATAGCAGGTGTTAAGAGAAGGCCTCTTTAAAAAGGTGACTTTGAGGCCAAGGCCTGAGGAATGAAAAGAAGCCAGCCAAATAAACTGGAGGGAGGGCCGAGGTGCATGGGGCCCATTCCAAGTAGAGGCTGGAGGCCCCCCGGGGCAAAAGGCCTTGGGGTGGTCAAGGAACTGAAGGAAGGAAGGCCAGCGTCATGGGTCACAGGCTGAGTTTGGCAAGGTAGTCAAAGCCCCAGTTGGTGGTGCAAATAATTGTCACAAATTCTTAGATGGTAGCTACCATTATTATTCCTATTTTAAAAAGTGGATGATATTACTTATATGTGGAATCAAAAAAAAGGGGACACAAATGAACTTATCTACAAAACAAACAGACTCACAGACATAGAGAACAAACAGGGTTACCAGGAGGTAAAGGGGGTGGGAAGGGATAAATTGGGAATTCGAAATTTGCACCTCTTGGGGAGTGATGGAAGTGTTAGCTATCTTGATTATGGTGGTGGTTTCATTGGTGTGTACATCTACCAAAATTCATCAGATTGTACACCTGAAATATGTGTAGTTTACTGTGCAGGAATCATACCACAATTAAAGTGTTCTTAAAAAAAGAAGTGGAAACCCAGACTCAAGAGATGTCAGAGGTCTTGCCCCAGATCATACAGTTATTGAAATGGCAGAGCTGGGATTCAGAACCAGATGTCAGGGTCTCCACAGTCCTTATGGTACCACTGACCCATCACCATCTATCCCAGGAGGTTCCCTGAATCACACACCTCAAACGTGCAATGTATTTTCTGATTTTTATACTTTCTTTTGTGCCTCTAACTGCTACTTATTTCAATTTTCATGATAACCCCAGTAGATTCCCTATTGACAGGGAAACAAAACCTCAGAGAGAGAGAGGAAAAGAGTGACCTGTCCAAAGTTAACTCAGGTAGGAAGGCTAAGACCCAAGTTTTTGATCCCTCATCCTCCATCTACTGCTTGGGTGCGTGGGGGCCTCCTCTCTCTGGGATAAAAGGAAAGAAAGCAGGGCAGGCAGCTGAAATGGCCCTTGTGCTCAGTTTTGGGGCCCTTGGCTGTAGATCTCTACCTCTGGCTCCTATTTTTTGCTCTGCTGTACCCAGAGGCATAGGTCACATCACAGCCGCAGAGCTGGTTGGCAGCTGCCAGGCCTTACCCTGGCACACGGAGCCCAACAGGAGGGCAGGGGCCTGGTGCCACTGGGAGAGTCATAGTCTTCCCCCAAGCCTGTGCCCAGATCTGCCGTCTGGCAGCTTTCCCGGCCCAGGGGCTGCCACTTGGCCAAGCAGGTCTTGGAGACTCCAGCAGAGAAAAATAGCAGCCATAAGATCATGGATTGTGACAAGTCTTACAAACCAGGGGACTCCAGGGCCCTGGGTCCAGGGCCAGGGGAGAGCTTCCAACTCGGCCAACTTGGGAGAAGAGGATGAGCAAGGCCAAAAGGGCTGGGCTTGCAAGAGAGAAGCCCTGGCAGTGTGTGATTGCAAATTAGTGATTCCTGCAGGCCTCTTTTTTCCCACCTGTAAAACAGGAGGTTGGGCTAGATTTAGTCTTTATTGAGTTGATTATCTATTTGACATCTGCAGTTTGGAAAAGTTGTTTCCAGATCTAAGTATACAGTTCTGGGAAGCAGGGTGCACTGCTCTAATGAGAAGTTGTGTGTCTAGAGGGAGCCTTCACAGCCATCTGCAGGAAATAGGCCATCTCCTTTATTGGCCAGGATTTGTAAGCACCCACCAGCTTTGGACATTGTGGCCACTGGGAGCTGGCTTTTGTGCATCAAGGAGCCCTTCAATTCAAGCTCCCAGTCCTGGTTGGTCAGTGGCTTGGAGAAAACCCCGAACCTCGTTAGTCCCAGCGTCAGCATCACCTGCCTCAGCTCCCAGGAAGAGACGTGTCTGCCTCACCTTTCCCTGCCCCTCTTCCTCTGCCCTGCATTGTGTTAAAGGGTGCCTGGTGCGGGAGGCAGGAGCTGCCCGGGAGCTCCCAGGCGCTTTAAACTGCTTAGCATGCATTTCACAGCCTCTCTGGGGCCAGCTGTTCCTTTCTCCGCTCTGGGGCCTGTTTGCTGATCCCCTCCCCACCACCCTCTCCCCCTCACCCCTCCCAGTCCCTGTGCAAAATTGCTTTTGAAAAGATCCACTTTCTGCTTAATTAAACAATGAGGAGCGTCCCCTCGCACATCTGTAAACCTCCTTCTGAGGCCAGTTTAGCCCACAAACTGCTCCATTCTTACCCCCATTCACTTGTAAATGGACCCTCTGATGTTCCCTCTACCCTCTCTTCTCTCTTACTCCCCCCATCCCAGCTCTTTCTTCTCCCCTTTCAACTGGGGGTGGGCTCCCAGAAGAGCCTCGTCTTGAAGCCTGGTGGACTTGGTGGGGACAGGGGCGGCTTAACCTATGGAAGAGAAGACTTAGGGGAGCCGGCTCTCCCAAAGCTGTGTTGTGTGCAGAAGAGAGGCCACATTTGTTGGCCTGGTCCCCAGAACCAACCAGGCTTGGTGGTGGGAGGGCCAGGAAGACAGATTTCTGGCTGGGAGGAAAGCTCTCCCTGGGGGCGGTCAAGAAGGGGATGAGGGTCTGCTGCAGCTGGGATGCAGTCTCAGATGAGACCTGGAGATTGGTCTCTTTCAGGCCAGAGAGCTAGCATTGATACCTTTGGGGGCCCTGCCGCAGTGGGTGGTCATTGTCCCCAGACAAGGACACATCCACTGGGGCGAGGGATTTTGGTGGGAGCCTTTCTAAGGAGGGGCATGGGTGGTGCCTGATTCCCAGCAGCCTTTAGGAGAAGGTTCTGGTTGCCCACAGGATAAGGAATCCTAAGTCACTGTGGGCAAGTGTACATTCGTCTTGTGTGTTTGACACTGTACTGGGCCTGCTGCTGGCATTAGGAGTTTGGGTTATTATCCTCATTTGTCAGAGGATTACCCTGAGACAGGTGAAGTTACTTCTTACCTGAGGCCATCTAGCACATAGCCTGGCACCTCCCCACTCCAGAATCCCAGCTCTTAACCACTCCTCCATGGGAACAGCAGCTCCCACTCCTCCTTGGGAACAGCAGCTCCCACTCCCGGTGGACAGGCCAGGTCCCAAGGCTTCCTGTACCAGAAAATATATTTGGGTGCTTATCACCCTCCTCTGGTCCTGTCTGCCCAGAGGCAGTCTGGCTCCCACCACCCACAGCCTCAGAGTATGATCCCTTCCACCTGGGTTGGCCAGGGAACAGCTTAGGGACTTGAACATCTAACTCAGTGGAAAGGCTAGTGTTGGGGCCCCTCACCACTCTCCCAGTGCCCCCATTCCCTCTCTGGCTCTGATAGAAAGGTAGTGGATCCCACAGAAAACCCCAGCCAATCCCAGCACTATCAGCCCTCCAGAGCTGCCTGAGCATGTCCTTAGGTCCCTGGGCAGAGCGAGTGGCAGCTTAGGGCAGCAAGAGGGACTGAAGGATCGAGGCTCTCCGTCTGGCTCAGAAGAATTACAGCGTTGCTGTGCTGGGCATGATGCCAAGAGCTTTATATGGATCATCTTATTTGAGCCTCACAACCACACTGTGAGGCGTTCTTCCCATTCCCATTTTACAAAGAAGGAAGCGCAGAGAATTCCTTGCCCAAGGTCATATAACTAGGAAGTGATGGAGTCGAACTCAGAACCAGGACTGAGTCCCTGTTCTTAACCTGTCCTCCTCCTCCCTCCATCCACAGTTGTCCACATGCTCAGTAAACATCTCAAGGGCGTTTTGTGTATGAGGTTCCATGCTGTGTGCTGGGGCACACACCTGGGTAGTACCCCTGGGGTTCCCGAGACAGGAGAGGCCTCTTCCCAAGCAGCCCCTTCTCAAGGCCTACTCAGGCCCCACAGAGTCCGGCCCCAGCTACCTCTCTGCCCTCACCTCATGCTGATCTTCTGGCCTTCTCTGTTCTATTACCTTGAACTTGCCAATTCCAACCTGCCTTAGGTCTTCCCATATGTTCTTCCTTCTGCCTTGAATGCCCTGCCATCCCACCCTACTCCTACTTCAGGCCTCAGCTTCAACATTAACATCCTCAGAAAAGCTTTTCCTGATTCCACACAAAGGAAATAGCATTTGTCAGAACTAAGTAATGCCCGCCTCCCTTGCTGTCCTATTAGCTCCATGAAGGTAGGCTCTCTGTCCGCCTTGCTCACCGCCATCTCCCTAGCACCTGGCACATAGTAGTTGCCCAGTAAATATTTGTCTTGTGAGTGATCGCATGGAATCCCATGTGGGAAACCACCCTTGGTAGCAGTGGGAAGGCAGGAGGCCATGGGGAAGGTGAAATTGAGATTCCCCAGAGCCATCCCCAAGCCACCAGCCCCTAACTCTGCTTAACCCTTCCTCCTCCCCTGGGCGCCTTTGGAAGCCGACCATCTGGCTTAGAAGCTATTTGCATATTGTCTGGGCCTCAGCAAGCCTAGCAAGATGTCCCTGGGGGTGTGTTTCAGGCCAGGCCTAGTGGCCCTTGCAGCCTGCGAAGGGAGTAGGGAGTTCCACCTCTCCCCACCCCCAAATCCAGGCATGGGGGAACAATACTGGTGGTGATGCAGTGGCCTCACCATGGTAACAGGCTACCAAGAATGTGGGCAGGCCTGGGGGGGCGCAGAGGAGGGAGGGAATGACCTCAGCAAAGAGGAGCATCATGATAAATGAGCCAGCACCCGCAGCTGACTCCCCCCGCCCCAGCCCACCCCTCTGGGACTCCATGATGGTGCCATCACTTGGATGACCCCGACATGACCATTAGTCCTCCCCGACCGCCCAACCTACAAGAGTAAAGCAGAAGTCCCCTTTTGGAGGGAACCAGGGCTATTACCCGACTGGGTCCTAGTTCTGAACAGCCTGGCCAGGGCTGTGGAGGTGCAGCTGGTGGCCCTCAGGCTAGGCACTGCCCAGTCCCTCTCAGCGCCTCCGCGCACACAGGCACAACCCCGCCCGCCAGGGCTGGCTGATGGATGTGTCAGACCCCGGCAGCTCTATCGAGCGGCCGCAAGATATATGGGCTGGCGGCCCACCAGACAGTGCCAAGATGGAGGCCAAGGGGAAACCTCAAAACCCAGGCCTCTGGGAGGAACCCAGCCAGGAGTCAAAATGGACTGCAGCTAGTTGGAGGCAACACTCCCCATCCCCTGCCCGCCCTAGGAACCGTGGGGACTCTGATCTGCTTTGTTTAAAAGTAGAAATTAAAATTGAAAGGCACAGTCTCACCCTGTGGACACTTTGCCATGGCCCTGTGCTCTGCTGGCGTACGACCCAGGGAAGTTGGCACAGAGCAGAGTAAACCAGTCCATCCAGGGTGCAGCTTGTCTGCTTCCCAGGAGGGTGGCAGGCAGACCAATGAGAATGCCTTAAAACCCTCTTCAAGCCTGGTCCTGTGTGTGACACACGCTGGGCCTAGACTGGAGAGAGCCTCGCCTCGTCTTGTCTGGCAGCCTTTCCCTCGCCTGCACGCCAGGGCTCTACCTCTAGGCAGGGGCACCGAGGCACTGCTTGGGCCCTTCTCCACCTTAGCCTCTGAGCTTTGTCTCGGGCACAGGCCCAGGACAGCAGACTCCTCTGAGACACTGACTCTGGATGAGGACAGCTAACCTCCAGCCTCCTGCTGGCTTCCCAGAGGCTAGCTGTCTCCCCAGGGCCTTCAGTCCTCAAGTCATCTCAGGGAGGAAACAGTCTCCTGCAGCCTCAGGAGATGCTCTGTCTGAGGAGTGGATAGTTGAGAGCCATAGCCTTTGAGGAATTTATAGAGCCAGGTTTAGTGTGCTGTGGCCTGGGACCTTGCTTCCAGAAAAGGAGAGGTGGCCCTGGGGACAGGTGGCTCTGAGCCTCCAGATGATGTACAAAGAGCTTGGTGGCTGTCCCAGAACCAGAGAGGCAAATCTCAGTGTCCAGCTGAGCAGAAGAGGCCCTCCTGACCCTGAACCTCTTGCCTCTTCAGGGTGGCCGGCCCTGGCCTGGAGGGCTCTACGAAGGGGGTGTAGTGGGGCAGTGATTTGTCAGCGTCTCTGGCTGGGGAAGGATCCTTCTCTCCCTCTGCCAGAGGAAATTAACTGATGTTATCAGCTCAGCAATTGTTTTTCTTCCCTCACAAAGGGAAATATATGCAGACCCTTCCAAGAGCAAAGCCGAATTCTCCCCATCTGGTACTGGCTGGAGAGATAAAGGTGTAGGGGGATCTTCAGGGCCCTCTCAGAGGCCTCTCTGTGGCCGTTTCAGACCATCTTCTAGGACTAGTGGGTGGGGGTCTGTCTCTCCACCCTTTCAGATGTGACCATTCCTCCTGCTGTCTGCCTTGAGTCCCCATTGCCTCTTCTTCAAGCCTTTAGCAGTGCCAGGTGCCACTTTCTCTGAAGACCTCTCTGGCAGGTCACTGGCCTTTCCAAACCCATTTCCTCACCGTGGGAATCCACAAGTTCAGGGGCTGTGACAGCCTGGGCTAAGCCCCATGTTCACTTCCTCCTAGCTTAGGCAAGGCCCTGGGGGCCAGGAATCATTTGGATTTAACATTAATTTGTTTTGTGCCTTCCTCTCCAGGGGACATCCGGAACCTCCTTGTCTGGATCAAGAAGAATTTGCTAAAAGAGCGGCCAGAGTTGTTCATCCAGGGAGACAGCGTGTGAGTTCCTTTCTTCCCTTCCCTGAGGAGGGCAGGCGTAGGGAAAGAGCTTTGAGCACTTGTCCTTGGGTTCAACTATAGCCTTCTCTGGGTCCTGTCCTCCCGCTCTGTCCTCCCCATACCCCTCCAAGGAAAGGGCTACCTCTGTCCAGCTCTGTCTCAAGTTTATGTTCAGTTGTCTTGTTACCACATTGGACCGTTAGGATTTAAAGCCCAGATCAGGAGATTGGTAGATTTATCAAAAAACTTAGATTCTGCTTTCTGACTTTGATTTTTTTTTTAGCAGTAGAAATACCTCAAATCTATAATGTGTACAAAGACTTATAAACAGACAAAAGCAAGAGATCTCATGGCTTCACTTTAAAGCTTACTTAGGAGTTAGGTATTACAATATAAATTTACTGCTTATAAATAACAGTTGGAGTAAGCTGAATTTGCTTGCTCAAATCACTAAGGCTTACTATTGATGAAAAAGACATTT